AAATTCGATCAAGAAAGGATATGGAGAACCAATCATATCATTTTCGAATGTTGCAAAGAACAAGAACATACAATATTAAAAATGGAAGGTAAAAAAGACATAGGGAACTAAAGTGAAATGTCAAGAATTAAAAATATTATCGAGCATCAATATATTCATATCGCACTACAATATAATACAAAAGGGAATCAGAAAAGAATATGAAATAAGATATGATACATATAATTGTTTATAACGTTATGTGCGGACGTTTCGACTTACTTTTAAGTCATCATCAGCGAAAATTTAAATAAAAGGAAATCAAAGAAAATTCGCAGAAATATAACGCAAATAAATATCTATATTGACATTTTTATATATACTTATTGTCGGAAGGACGCAACTAAAAGCACTAAGAATGTTATTGTAAATAATTAATAGTAACAGATTCAACGGCTCTTTGAGATTGATGGAGACCATCTCCAATTTGGGTTAGTATGCCCAAATTTGAGTGTCGTTTATATTGATGCTCGATAACTTTTTTAATTCTTGACATTTCACTTTAGTTCTCTATGTCTTTTTTACCTTTTAATTTATAATTTACAGAACACTTAATTACTAAATTGTTACATACAATATTGTTAACATTATAGTTAAGAAGTGCGCTGAAACAACTTGAAGATATATTTAATGAGATAAAAGACAAAAATGAAATCGCTATCATAAAACAGTATGGAAAAAGAGCTAAACATATAACGATTGGAATTTTATGTAAGATAATATTTCTCGATCTTTTTCATCTTAATTTAATATCTCCTTACAGTCAAATAAGTAAATTGCAACTGAGAAATTTTAAAACATTACAATTGAGAAATTTTAAAACATTAAGTGGTATTATATGTATTGATTTTAAAACCTTTTTTAGTAGTTAGCATGTGCTGTCAACTTATTTTTGTTTTGCTGTATATTTGCCCATATGTTTATTACATTATGATCCTCAACAATTCTCGATCACATTCTTCGTCATACATTACGACAGAATATTTTATTGATGAAGAAAAATATTCTTACTTAATTACGGTGCATAGACATGTAGCATGTTTAATAGGCTTACTGGCAATGGTAGCGACAGGAACTATGCTCATAACATATCTTCAACATACTTGTGCAATGCTTAAAATCGCCTGGTAAGTAAAGAAAGCAAAAATGGACATAATTTAATTTTTGATATTTTTAGACAAATAATATAATTATAACAATAAAATTATTTGTAGTTACCGTATCAAGCTGGCATTTGATATCTTACGAAATACTAATTTAAAAAATGAGCGAAGAAGTTGTAAGGACATAATTCGTGCTGTAAACATTCATAGCAACGCTATAAAGTTCATATTATTATCATTTTATTATCAAATATTTTATGCATATTATAATATATACAATTTTATATTTAAAGGCTAAGCAACTTTTTAATAACCAATTTTGAGGGGTCGTTTTTTTTCTTGATAGCAGCTGGCATAACTTGCCTGAGCTGTAATCTTCTTCGGGTAAATTTAGTAACAAATTTCTAAGAAATGCTCTATGTGTAAAATTATTAATTATTAAATTAGTTAACAAAAAATTTCCAAAGATGTAGATAAATACACAGAAAAAAGGATATTCGTGTTTTAAAAATATATTTAGTTTTAACATCGAAATCTTAAAATGAGATTATATTGCGTTAATTATAGAAAAATATAATTGCGTACTTGAATGAAGTTATTTTATACAATTCAATCAAGAAAAATATATTCTTATGATTTAAGATTTAATTTTCTTGAATGAAAAAAAACAATGTTAAATAGAAAATATTATTTTTAAATCAAAGATTATAATTTTCTTAAAGTAGAATTAAATAATTATATATTCTTGTGATAACAATTACAATATTGAAGTAAGAATATAATATTGTTAAGATATAAAATTATTAAATTCTTTTGAGAAGATTTTAGATTGCGTAAGTACGAAGCAATGGACGCGTTTAAGTTATGATAAGTTACATAAGTTTTGATTTGACACTTATTTTTTTCTGTGTAACGTAATAATTTTTTAGCGATATATTGGCAAAAAAAATCTACAAAGTCAATTGAATGCTTATATTTTTTTACAAGTATAAATTAAATTTTCATTTAATTTTTATGTGCTTCATAAAAAAAAATTATGCAAAATTCATAATTACGTATTACAGTAGATTGCAACACATTGTCATATACATATACATATACATATGTGTGTGTGTGTGTGTGTGTGTGTGTGTATACTATATATCAATTGATACTATATAATATATATGTATACATATATATATAGAACAATGTGGTACATAAGAAATCAATGATAAGCACATAATATGTGCTTATAATTTTCAGATTGCGTCATTTACCGATGACATCGGACAACTTATATTATCTCTAACATTTATAATTATCCTCTATATATACATGTTTTTATCCAATTATACTGCACAAGAAATTACAGATCACAATGAATATGTGTTTGCTACAGTGTAAGGAATATTTCAAATTTATATACAAATATATTTATTTTGCAGATACTTACAATGATAAGTTATCAACAGAGATTTCTGATAAAACTGTATTACTTTAAATAAATAAATTAATATACATTTGTATGTGTACGCATGTATGTGTATATGCGTGTGGGAGCGCACATGCATGCGTGTAATAAAAACATTATTTAAAATTTTTATCTAATTAAATTGATTAATTTATTATTTCGTAGATATAATGTACATTGGTACATAGCTCCAATACGTATACAGAAAATGATACTTTTTTTGCTGCAAAAGGGTACTAAGAGTTTTCATCTGATTCTTGGTGGAATATTTGTAGCGTCAATGCAAAGTGCCGCTTCGGTGAGAGATATATTATATAATTTTTTCAATCACATATAAATAATGAACAAAATAAAAGAAGATGCATTTTATTCACTGAACTATATATAACTGGAATGAAAACTGCCATGCTACGTACATAAGCGAACAGCGAGCTTGAGATAGATAGATTTTCGAGATTAGGTGTTTCGCTCGCATGCATCTACGCACGCTGTTTGGACAGTGCAAGCAGATTTAAAAGAACGAAGTGAGACATCTAGCTCTAACGAGTTCTCTTTCGTCTCGCGAAAGGTTATTCAGTTCCTTCATTCCAGTTTATATATAGTTATATATATAGTTTATATATAGTTTATATATAGTTTATATATAGTTATATATAGTTTATATATAGTTTATATATAGTTGATATATAGTTCAGTGATTTCTTTACAGTTACTGAACACTTCCATATCATACTTCACCGTTTTTTATTCTACCCAACATAATTAAAAGTATAACAAAGTAATTACAAATAATATCAAGTCGATTGGACTCGTATCGATCGTCTTCGAGATCCAGATTTAGCATGATTATTTTACTCGAAAGAAGAATATAGTCTTTATTTAATAGGAAAAATTATTATTACATATTAATGTATAGATAGAAGTTATAAATTTGAACGATTACAATAATAAATGTATATTAAAATATCATGTAAATTTGGAGAAAAATTATTTAGAATAAAAGAAGATGATGTTTCTATAATTAGTAGCCTTTGTTGATGAAAGCACAATCGACAAATGCATTTTAATATTAACGTTATTTAATTATATTATATGTATTAATATATATTGCCTATTAGTTATTTCAAGTTCAGAGAGAAAGAGCGGCCTGTAATAATATCGATTAAAATTTACGTTTTTTTAAAAGATCCCGCTCATTTTGAATATAAAAATGACTTTGTTCAAATTGACTAAAATTTGAAATATATTGTAATTAATTTGATAATAAATAATTTCGTAGGCAAAAAGTTTAAAAATCAAAACTATAAATAGACGATAATTATGCAGATATAGGGGGACATTTCTCTTTCTAATTTCAATAATTTCCACATATATTATTCTCAACACTCTGAATAATGTTAAAGGTTTTAGCTCGTTATTTATTAATAAGTTATCAACAAAAATTGTATAATAAACAATATATAATTTTTTTCGAATACCATGTGTATATATATTTGTCTATGTATGTGTCAAAATTGAATTTATTATCAGACACTCAGTATATATATACATATATATATATATATATATATATATATATATATGTGTGTGTGTGTGTGTGTGTGTGTGTGTGTGTGTGTGTATGTATATACTGATACATCGAATGCTATATCTTTAAATATAGACAATTTAAATGGATATATTAATAGAAACGAATGTTTAAATTTAAATTTTTATAGTAGTAAGCGGCATAAGTTGGAAAATTTAAAAAATTTATTTGAAAATATAAAATATCCAAGAATATAAGAATTTAAACACAGTAAAGCATAGTATACTAACATAGTATAATAATTTTAAACATAGTATAATAATTTAAACATAGTATAATAATTAATTTAAACATAGTATAATAATTTTTCAGTGAGGTATAACACCCTTTGATAGTACCAATTTAAACACGTTGATATACTGACATATGAAATACAATTTAGGGAAATATATATATATATATATATATATATATACTGATATATATATATATATATATATATATATATATATATATATATAGATTAAAACGATACGATATCGCGCGCAAGAAGAAACGATTGCGACTAAGCGATTTTTTTACAAAAAAGTCATAATTCGTATCTTCTCATCACATCTTGTCATAAATATCTTTCTGAGAAACTAACTTCTGTTAAATTGCTTTTATTATAGAATCGATTGTTAACTTATGAATTTGAACTTAAAAAATTTCTCAAATTACATAATTACGTAATTGCCTAATTTTGTATACAATTTTATAGAGTCCCTCTATGCATTATTCAAACTTTCCTTTTTATTGAATTAGATAATTACTGTAAAATTTACCCTATGAGAAAGAAGTCATGCTTCAAACGATCGATGAATCGAAGAGAGGGGGATATCGTGTCTGCACTATTTTTTTTCCATCAAACTTGTGTCAACAGTCACGAAAAGATGATCTGCCTTGAGACTCAACATTTTAACATCAACCGAATGTTGTTGCTTATCGTTGGCTTGTGGCCTTATCAGCGATCGTTTTTAATTGAACTTCAACTAATTTTATTTTTTGGTATTCTGATAACTTTTATCGTATTTCAGGTATATCAACGTATATATAGTATTTTATATATTACGAAATCGTGTTATAGTAAAAGAGAATTAATGTATAATTTTAATTTTAATTTCATTATATTCCATAATTATTATATTTTGTTATAATTTTTATGTTCTAATTATATAAAAAATTTTAATTGTATATTTTTTTTAAATTATTATACATAGCAAACGAAAAATTATAAATTAAAAAATTAGTAATGGAATACTATAATTTGTTCAATACGATGAATAATATTATTATTTACAGTTAACAACATTTATAACATCAGAATGCACTTTGGGCATTATCAATAAAGTTTTATCTTCTTCATTTTTTTTTATTTGTCTATTAATTGAATACAATTCATTTTGGATTAACACCGATATAGTAAGCGTAAAACTATCATGCATCACTGATGAATACATCTTCGAACGCAATATACATATATGGGCTTTCGTATTCGTTACTCTTGATCAACAAAGTTTATTTTTTCTTAACATATTGTTTTATTTCTATATTTGATTATCATAATGTAGGTGTACACTAAAAAAAATATCTACTAGACAAACTGATTTGAATCTGATGAAGTAAGAGTATGAAAGCCCAATTACAATCTTTTAGAAAGTTACAAACAAAAATGGCAGTACAATATTATTAACATGATTATTATACAGTTAAAGATTGCGTTGAAACAACTTCAAGAAGTGTGTAATGAGATAAAAAACAAAAATGAAATTGCTATCATAAAAAAGTATGGAAGCCAAGCTAAATGTATAACAATTGGACTTATATGTAAGATATGTGACATTTCTTGTGTGTGTGTGTGTGTGTGTGTGTGTGTGTGTGTGTGTGTGTGTGTGTGTGTGTGTGTGTGTGTGTGTGTGTGTGTGTGTGTGTGTGTGTGTGAGACTTTCCTTATATTTTAATTTAATATGTTCTTACATTCAAATAAATAAATTGCAATTGAAATAAGAAATTTTTAAAAATTAAAGAATATTAATATCTATTAATTTACATGATTATTTTGAAATTTTTCTTAGTACTTGTAATATGCTTTCAATTCATTTTTATTCTGCTATATATTTGGCCATATATTCGTCACATTATGATCCTCAACAATTCTCAATCACATTCGCCGCCGCATATTATAACAGAATATTTTATTGATCAAGAAAAATATTCTTATTTAATTACGGTGCATAGACATGCAGCATGTTTAATAGGCTCACTGGCAATGCTTGCGACAGGAACTATGCTTATAACATATGTTCAACATATCTGCGCAATGTTTAGCATTGCCTGGTAAGTAACAATAACAAAAATGTGTATAACAATTTAAATGATATTTTTAAATAAGTAATATAATTATAGCAATAATGTTATTGACAGTTACCGTATCAAACTAGCAATTGATATCTCACATGAAAATAATTCCAAAAATGATCAAAAAAGTTATAAAGACATAATTCATGCTATAAACATTCATCGCAACGCTATAAAGTTTGCATTATCATAATAACGTTGGTATTATATTAATAACAAGTGTTTAATACACATAGTAATATATACTTTTTCATGTTTCAAGGCTTTTGAATATTTTAGTATCCAACTTTCAGGGATCGTATATTTTCTTGATAGCAGCTGGTACAATTTCTGCGAGCTGTAATCTTTTTCGGGTAAATTTTGTGTGCAATTTCTTGAACGAGAAGTGTGGCATTTCATAAATTTAAAATTAATCAATTTTTTACACTCCAAAGATGAGAAGAAATAATTTATTAATTATTTCTTCTCATCTTTGGAGTGTAAAAAAATTTATTAATTATTGATTAAAAATTGGTGAGTAAAACGCGGTAATTGGAGCTCATGGAGAAGAAAAAAAACATCTTTCTTTTAGTTATTAATACGTTTTAAAATATTAATTATTTAATACACGTATTAAACACGAATCATTTTTTGATCCACCTTCAGATTGACATTAATATTAGACATTAATATTACGCATTATAATATTATATATTATTGTCTAATATTCTCTAATGCGTAATATTACTATCACACTGAAAATGGATCAAAGAAGTAAATAAAACATTTAATGCATGTATGGTAACGAATATTTTGAAATATATAATAATTAAAATATATTAGTAATTAAAAGAAAAAAAATATTTTTTTCCTTTTTTCTTGCACTTCAATTATCATATCTTGGCTCTTACTTGCCAATTTTTAATTAATTTTAATTAATTGTAATTATTTGAGTCAATTTTTTAATTTAATAATAAAATGGTTTTCTAGTAATATATCAGTTAGAGACGTATGAAATTTATTGTATACTTATGTTTTCTTACAAATGTAAACTATATTTACGCCAGATAAATGCATTCTTAGAAAATTATGCAAAACCTCGTAATTATATAAACTACATAGTAGATAACATTATATTACTCAACATGAATTTTATTATTTATTTTAATCTATTTAATTTAATCTATTGACATATCTTAAAATAATATGCATAGGATAGTGTGATGCGTAAGAAGCAAATGATATGCGTAACATTTAATTCATAATTTTCAGTTTATGTCATTTATCAGCATAGAGCAACTTATACTATCTTTACTTTTTTTAAGTATCCTTTATGTATACTCATTTATATCCAATTATATGGCACAACAAATTACAGACCACCATGAGTATATATTTATTACAGTGTAAGAAAAATTTTATATATGAATGTAATTGTTTTTTAAAATATTTATGTTTATATATTTCGAACGATATTAGTTTAGTTTTCATTTCTACATGTTGACAGTTATTTAACTAAACTGAAAAGTATTCTAAACACATCATGAACACCTGCAAATAGATGATTATTACTGGACATTCTGTGTAGTATAGAAAAGAGATTATTTGTAATATTTCAAATAAAAATAGTTGTATTCAATGCAAAATAAAATTGTGTCTTTGGCTAATACAGTATTTCTATTCATTTTTTATACATATTGTATTTTTATTAATACTTTTTTATAAGAAAAGATAATAGAAAATCTTCGTTGCAAGCGCTATTGAATTTTAAGTTATGACGAGTTCGGAACACTTCTCGGTTCAATCTTTTGTGACCGAATTAATTTTTATTTCCTTTATTACTATAATAATTGTTATTGTTTCGAAAATGCATACTAAATGAACTAGTATTTTTAGTTTTCCCTTATTTTTTATAGTTTGATTACCGTAAACTCGGGAAGTAAAATTGTGTAGGTGGGACATATGTATATATCTCACTGGTCACGAAAAAGTTAAATAACTGCCAACGTTTAAAAAACATAAGCCAAACTAACATTAGGAATATATCTATTATAAATCAAAATTGTCGACTTCTGATAAAATTAATATTCTTTGGAAAAAAGGAAATAATTATGCATGTGTATGTGTTTATATATGCGTGTGTAAAAGAAATTATCTATTATACTAAACTATATACCTAATTAAAATATTTTTAATTTATTATTTCGTAGATATACTGTTCGTTGGTATATGGCTCCAATACATATACAAAAAATGGTACTTTTTTTGTTGCAAAGGGGTATTAAAAGTTTACATGTGACTCTCGGTGGAATATTTGTAGGATCCATACAAAGTTTCGCTTCGGTGAGAGATATATATCGCGATATATTATAATTTTTTTAATCATATATAAATAGTGAACAAAATAAAATGTGATGTATTTCATTACAGTTGACGAGCACTTCTATATCATATTTTACAGTTCTTTATTCTACTATGCATGATTAAAAGGATAATAAAATAATTATAAATTATATCAAACCGATTAGATTCGTATCAATTATCTTCGAGATTTAGGAGTAGCATAATTACAACACTCGAACAAAATAGCTATTGAATAAAAAAAAATTGAATGATAACAATAGTGAATTTAATATAAATGTGTAGAAAAATATAATTTTAGAAAAATTATATAGAAAGAAAAAAAGACAATGTTTTTATAATTAGTATCCTTTGCTGGTTGCGTAAAAGCGCAGTTATGGAATATATTTTATTTTTAATATTATTTATAATTTTTATATTATCTAGTTATTATTCAGAAGAGAGCAATTTTTTTATAATAATAAATATTATATAAAATTTATGAATATAAATTTATAAATATTAAATTTATAAAATTTTTTATAAATATAAATATAATATAAAATTTATAATAATAAATTAAACTACATATTTTCTGGGTGTGAAGAGAGAAATTAAAACACAATATTATTAATAAACTATTTAATAAGAGCGGGATAATATTTCTTTTCTTCTCTCCCTCTCAACTATTTTATAAACAAATGCTTGGCTAACCAGTAAGTAGAAATATTATAATGTTTATAAGCGCAAATGTGTATAAAATAATATAAATTCTTTTATAAAATTTTTATATTTACCAATATGAAATAATAACTAATACGTCGATGTTTTAAATGAAACGATTGGTATATTTTTTGTGTTAAAGATGACTGTATCTGACGAGTAGACGGACTAGAATAAAGTATGATAAAATATATCGCTGTGCAGAATGTTCTATACGCATATGCCGTTTATTATTAAGAGAAACTTTTTCATGATCCCCTATGGGAAATAAACATGTGTCATATTTCCGCCGGCATCGAAATCGATTCCTTAATTATATCCCTTTCATAAGGGAAGGTGTAAATTTTCGAATGTTTCGGTCTCACGGCGATAATACATATTGCACTCTGTATTTAACTTAAATATAGAGCAATTTGCAATTTGAGCAATTTAAGAGTAAATTGAAGCCCTATAGCATAATTTTCTCAATTGAATAGAAAGAAGGGAATAAACGAACCCGTTATTTTTTTGCATTATCAAATGCATCTCGATGCCCGCGGAAAGATGATCTGCATTGACTGTTTACATATCAGCCTTAATCGAAAGCTGCTACTCGCAGTCGGTCTATGGCCTTATCAACAATCGAAATTCGTTCGATTTCAATTAATTCTGCTTTTTGCTATTTTGACGTCCTTCATTATATTTCAGGTACGCCTTCATTTCTAATTACATCGCTATAAATAAATTAATTTACTTAACTGTTAGTTTATTAATTTTGTTTGTCACAACTTTTCTCATCTTGCATTTGAATATAATCATACCATAATATGTTTTTTATATAATATAAATAATTTAAAAAAATGCACATTTTTTAATTCTTATTTGTACTTCTTAATTCTTAACTTATACTTGTATATGGAGAAGGAATTTTTTATTAAATTATGCATATATATAAATATATTTATATATATACATATATATATGAGATATTTATCATCTAAGACATGTATTTTCCTAATTGCATAATAAAATAATAATATAAAATTTATAAATAAAATATAATATTTATAAATAAAATATAATTGAATATTAAATTATTATTTTTTAGTTTACAGCATTTATGACATCAAAATGTACTCCTGATCTTATCATCAACGTATTATCTTCTGCATTATTTTATATTATGTTTCTTATTAAGTACAGTTTTTTTCATATTAATATTGAAGTTGTAAGTAAATCTTACATTACATATCGTATTCGTGCGTGTACACAGATAAACATTTAGAAGAAAAATTTTTATATAAAAATAATATAAATATACATTTTTTTCCCCAAATTTGATAACGAAATATTGTATAAAAACGACAGGCGAAGTGTTTGTTGGAGCAATTGCAGAATATCTATAACGAGTTAACGGACAAGAATGAAATTAGAATTATAAAAAAGTACGGCATTTACGCAAAACGTTACACAGCTGGTTTAATACGTAAGACAGTTGCTTTTGGCTTTCATTTCAATGTTAAATGCTTTATGTTTTATTTAAAAGTAATTAGTACATCTCTGCAGTAAACCTTCTGACCTAGTGTGTATGTTATTGATTTTAAAACGTTCTGTAGTGGTTGTCATATTTTCTGCACCCGGTCTAATTTTGTATCCATTCTGGCCGTATTTTTTCAACATCCTCTTATCTATAAATGTGTCTCGATCACATCTCTCGCTGAAAAAGATGTATGTCACCGAGTATTTTGTCGATCAGAAAAAATACTTTTATTTGATTTTGTTGCACGCAAACGCGGCTCTATACGTAGGAGTATTCACAATACTAGCGATAGGAACGATATTTATAGTCTATCAACAGCATGCCTGCGGAATGTTTCGAATCGCCAGGTAAGAAGATAAAATACAGAAACTCCGAATTTTTTTTAAATCGGAAAATTTGAAGGAATTATATAATTATGATAAAAAATCGCTTACAGTTATCGCATCGAGAAAGCAATGGCGGTCGATATTTCACAGAAAGGCAACCTGCGAAACAGAAATTTGATTTACAAGGAATTAATTCGCGCCGTGGATATGCATCGCGAAGCCATGAGGTGAATATGCAATGAATAACAAGTGTAAAACTATGAATAATGCTCCTTTCTTTCTTTTTCTCTCTCGTAGATTTTCGGACTCTGCGGTATCCAGATTTAAAGTGATGTATTCTCTTATGATATTAGTTGGGGTAATTAGCGGAAGTTTAAATTTCTTTCGAGTAAGTTTTATTTTTTCCTCGAAATGCTCTGTAAACTTTATCATAGGTTCAATTATTTTCAAGTTTTTTTAAATTATTATTGAATCTTTTCACCAATCACTTTTGTCGAATTGAAAATTCTATTACAAATTAACGATCAGTTCATAACATAGATTGTAATTGCACTCCCGCTTTAGATTTTTCAGGCGCTGTCATTCGGATATGATGCTGAGGAACTTCTGTTACCGTTAATATCTGTGTCTACTTATTTATCGATCATATTTGTAGGCAACTATATCGCGCAAGAAATTATGGATCACAATAATGATGTGTTTATTTCTGCGTAAGAAAAATATACATATTTACCATGCATAAATCGTACGCGTATTTATTTTGCGGATTGTAAAGAAATAAACGAATAATGATTATTATAATTCAAAGAAAGGAAATAATGAATGTAGTGTACGTGTGTAATAATGATAAAAATAATTATGTTAGTTTTCTCTAATCATTAATTTGTGTCAATATAAATAAATTTGAATTTCAGGATTAATAGGAACCAAATGTGATGAGATTATAATCGAAAAATTAATTTTTCTCTAAAACTCATTATGTGCACATGTCATAAACTCTTCTTGGCTTATTGTGAATATATATTTCAATTCGAAACTTTTAGCAAACTCCTGTTTATTGCCTGTAGAAAGGTATTCCCTTAAAGATGTAAAGAGAGAGATTTATTAAAAATCTCAAATAAAGACATATATGTATATTCATACTTGACATATGAACCAAAACAAATTCATGCTTTGTACATTCAGTTTTAGAGAAAAATTAATTGACGCATTATCATCCTTCATTTGACTTTTATTAGCTGCAAAATTCAAATTTCTGTTTTTACATACACAGCCATTTAATCTCACGATTATTAATTTGTCATCATTTAGATATAATATTCAGTGGTATGCAGCTTCCGTAAACGTACAGAAGATGATACTATTTCTATTGCAAAGAAGTACCAAGGTTTTCAATATAAATATTGCTGGGTTGTTTGTGGGTTCATTAGAAGGTGCAGCTACGGTAAGAGATATGTGTAACAAATACAATGTGTTTGATATGAGTATATACATTCAGATATTTTTTGAAATAATGGAGTTAAAACAGAGATTTGTATGGCATTTTACAATAAATTTGGTTATAAGATATTTTATAATAAATTCGATAAAATGTGTAACAAAATGAGATATTTAATTATCGTTCATAAAATATTGTCATTGTCGCTTTTAGGCATAAACGCAAAAATAAGATATCTTCAATTAAAAAATGATTATTAGTTTTTATTTAAAACTTTTAAATTTTCTTATTACTATCATTACGTAAATTTTCTGAAACAACTTAACTTTTATTCGAAACATTTTTTATTTTATTATTATATAAAAAAGTAACTGAATGTATACGCTTAGACCAAATACTGTAACTCGGAAAAGTAAAATATGTTTAAGTTTAAGTAAAACGAGAAAATGTACATTTCATTACAGTTGTTGAGTACCATAATGTCGTACTTCACCGTACTTTACTCTACACGGATGTAACACAAAATGTGTCAATTAATTTAGTTTAGTTTAATTTAGTTTTTCGAATAATAATAGTGGAAATAGTTAATTAATTAACACAAATGATATTAATTATTATCAACAAAGCGGCTTAATTAACCGATGAATAATACTGTAATAGATGTTACTAAGGAAATAGGAAAGCATATAAATGGTGTTTGAAGTAAATTGTGAAAACATGTACTCTTTACCTATAAGAAATTAATAATAATACACATATCATAGGGAGTAAGACATATTAACGTTTGCATCATCATAAACTAACGCCACCGAGCGCATCAGTAATTCTGTCAAGATATAAGATTCCTTCAGAGGTATTTTATGACAAATATAAACATCCATCAATGTTATTATTGTATAACTGTGTGTAATGTCGCGAATGTGTGAAATAAGATTATGTACAAAACTAAAAAAAGACAAGATTTTCAATATTAAAACTACAAAAAATATAGAAAGTCCTGAATTATAGTCACAAAGATCTTACAAGTCTTTTGTCGATAATAATTTTATAATTGATAAATTGATGCATGATGAATCGAATGTTCCTTTCTAAAGTGAAATAACTCTTACACACGCAAGGATAAAAAAACACATAAGAAATCGTGTCACCGTGTCACTGGAAAAGAAATAACTACGCTTGCGCAAACTTCGATCGAGAAGTACCCCTCATTTATATTATTCATGTAAAACAAATACTTGTCAAATTTCTTTCCACGTGAAATCAATCGTTCAATCATCTCTTTTTTAATAAAATTGTTAAATTATAAAAACTTCGTCTCTATTATTCTGTATTGTTAATTTACATTGAATTGCGTAATTCAAAATTATTATAAAATTCTTATAAAATATTTTTATACTAACCAAAAGTAAAAAAAAAATTTCCAGATGACAAAAATACAAGTAGAAAGCAATAAAAATAATTGATGATTCGAATATTATATCATGCAATATCATGTTATAAATTTTTAAGATAGAGAAAACCTTAGGATGTAACTTATTTTTGTATTTCTCGCTTGTAATTCTTTCTAACATTATCATTTCACTGATTATAAATATGAAAAATAAAAACAAATAATAACAAATGATAATTACACGATTTTCGATTTGTCGAAGTTCACTGTTTAGAAATAAGAAAGCATTTTTTATTACATTATTATTTCTATCTATTAATATGTCGATGTTTTAAATGGAACAACTGATGCTCTAGTGGATAGTCCATCATTTACAAGTGCAAGCACTAGACTAAAGCGAGTTGATAATACATCGTTGCAAAGTGTCAAATGCGCATGTGCAACTTACTTATAAGAGAAATGAAGAGAAATTCTTTCATGGAGTTGGAATGGATGTTTATTTATGGGAAATAAACATGTGTTATATTTCCGCCAACATCAAAATCGATTACTTAATTACACACTCCATCGCGAGGAAAGGTATATATAATTCCACATGTTTTTTTTAAAATGATCTCACGATGATATTATGCTGCATTTACATGAAATCAAGCGATTTAGAATTCATAATAGTAAAATAAAGCTATAACATAAATGGCCAATCTAAGGAAAATTGGTTGATCGAAGGGAATGAACAAAATAATATTTTTTCGTTAAATTTATTTTGATGTTCGCGGAGAGATGATCTGGATCGACTGTTTATATATCAACATTAATCGAATTCTGCTACTTTCGGTCGGTTTATGGCCTTATCAGCAATCGAAACTCGTTGCATTTCAATTAATCCTGTTTTCTGCTATTTTGACAACTTGTATTATATTTCAGGTACGTCTATATTTTTAATTGTACGAATAAACAAATAATTTACTGTTAGTTTTATTTACTGTAATTTTCCATTTTGGTTGCAAACATATTAATGTAATTATTTTCATCTTACACTCTTTTATTCTTTAACGTTAAATACATGTACACATACATACATACGTACATACATACATATATATATATATATATATATATATAAACAAATTTATTTTTAATATTTCCAATATATATAAATACAAATATGTATGTGTATATATATATATTTACATATATTAGAAATATTGAGAGTAAATTTATATTTTTATATATATATATATATATATATATATATATATAAATTAATCTGATTATAAATTACAAGTCCTAAATCATATATATATACATGATTTAGGACTTGTAATTTATAATCAAATTAAAAGTAATAATTTAATACAAATAATAGAATATAAAATAATTTATTTGCAGTTTACAACACTTTTAACTTCAAAATGTACTTCGAATCTTTTGATCGATGTTTTTTCTTCTGCATCATTTTACATTATTTTTGTTATTAAATACAGTTGGTTTAGAATTAACATTAATATTGTAAGTAAACAGAAATTTTGCACAGCACATTTGTGTGAGTACACAAACAAACATTTCACAAAAATAAATTTTATCATAATATGAATATATCTCTTCTCTAAATTTAATTAAAATAATACGGTATAAAAAACGATAGGTAAAATATTTATTGGAACAACTGCAGAAGATCTATAATCAATTGACAAACGAAAATGAAATTTGTATTATAAGAAAGTATGGCAACTATGGAAAAAGTTACACCATTGGATTAATACGTAAGACAAATTTTTTTGGACTTTCGTTAAATGTTAAGCATATATGTTTTGTTTGAATGAAATTAGTAAATTTATGTAGTAAATTTTTTCACATAGTGCATGTGTTATTGATTATTAAACGTTCTATAGTGATTGCCATATTAGTTATACCCGTTCCACTTTCGTATCCATTTTGGCTGTACTTTCTTGATACTCCAGTAACTATAAATGACTCTCGATCACGGTTTCCGCTTCCGCATAATACTGAGTACTTTGTCGATCAAAAAAAATACTTCTATTGGATTTTATTGCATGCAAACGCAGCTCTATTAATAGGAATAGTTACAATATTAGCGACAGGATCTATATTTATAGTCTATCTACAATATGCCTGCGGAATGTTCCGAATCGCCAGGTAAGAAGATAAAATGCAGAAACTATGAATTTTTGAAAATATGAAGATTTAAGAGAAATATATAAATGGAAAAAGAATCGTTTGCAGTTATCGTATCGAACAATCACTAGTTGATATTTCACGAAAAGGCAATCTACAAAACAATAATTTGATTTACAAGAAATTGATTCGTGCCGTGGTTATGCATCGCGAAGCCATGAGGTGAATATTTCATGAATAATACATAGATATATGCGTAATGCTCTCTTTTTTTTCAAAGATTCTCAGACTCATCCATATCTAGATTTAAAGTAATGTTCTCCTTTATGATAGCAGTCGGAGTGATTAGTACAAGTCTCAATCTTTATCGCGTAAGTCTTAAATTTTCTCTTAAAAGTACATTTATAAACATTATCGTGGAATCAGTTACTATTAAATTTTCCAATAACTATTAAATTTTCATTGATTATTCTGTCTGATTCGAAATTCCATTTGAAATTAATGCTCAGCTCTTACTAATTTTATTATTACACTTGCATTTTAGATTTCTCAGATACTGTCATTCGGATATGATGTCAAGAAACTTTTATTTCCTTTAATACGTGTGATAATTTTCATGTTCTACATGTTTATAGGAAATTATGTTGCGCAAAAAATTATAGACCATAATAATGTTGTGTTTGCCACTGCGTAAGGAAAATATCTATACCATACAATCATGTACGCGAACTCGTTCTGCCAATTATAAAAATAGAATTATAATTATACTATAATTAAAAAGAAACGAATATAATGTGCGTGTGGAATACAAAAGTAATTATCAAATTTTTTTACGCATCTCCAATTAAATTAATTTGTCGTTATGTAGATACAATATTCGGTGGTATGCAACTTCTTTAAACGTACAAAAGATGATTCTATTCCTATTACAAAGAAGAACCAAGGTTTTTTCTTTAAATATTGCTGGATTATTTGTGGGATCATTAGAGGGTGCAGCTATGGTAAGAGATACATTACAATATATAATATGTTTATTTCAAATGTATAAAGTCTGTTAAATTTTTTAAATAATAGTGTTATAAAATAGAGTATTTGGAATAAGGCTCACTTTGTTTAAAAAGATTTATATAAGGACTATGTATATTTATATATAATAAATATATATAGAAGTTTTTAATTCTTTTTTGATGTTATGACGATTCTATTTTTAAAATCGAAAAATATATGCATTTTATTTTAATCTTATATAGTATTTTATGGGAAAGTCGATAACTTACAATAAAGTAAGATTTTCACTAGTCGTTAGAAATATCTTCATTTATGTTGTTTTTATATGAGGGGAGAGACAAAATATCTCTTATAAAAAATTGTTTATGAGTCTTAATTTTAAATATTATTAAAAATTATTTATTATATTATTACATAAATCTTCTTAAACAAAATAACTAATATTCTTTTTACTTATCATTTCTTTTTAACAAATATTTTTTTATAACATTATTATTTAAAAGATTATTTGAATGTATACATTTAATCTAAACATGGTATATTATGAAAAAAAGTATTTATTTATTGTAAAATATATTTAATTATTAAATAAAACAAGTAACATGAAAAAAAAGAAAATATAAATCTCATTACAGTTGTTGAGTAGCGAAATATCATACTTCACCGTTCTTTACTCGATGCAGACTTGATACAAGATGTATTAGTTACTAATTTAATTGAATTAAAATAGTCAAAATAACTAGTGGTTCATCACAAATAATATAATTTATTATTCACAAAATACTAGTGGATCGATAAATGAAACTGTAATCTAAGTATCTAATTGTTAAGGAAATAAAAAAGCATATAAAACAATGTTGACAGTAAATTAAAAAAAACATGTTCTTTTTATCTTGTTATTATAACAATTCATTATTGTATAACAAATTAATAGCATCTAAACTACATGGAGCAAAACTGAAACGCGTTGAAATGTCATCATGAACTTACAAGCGTAACAGTAATTCCGTTAAGATATAAGATTCCTTGTTCAGAGCTATTCTATAACAAATATAAGCTTTCATCGACGTATTATTGTAAAAGTGCAAGTAATGTGAAATAAGATTACGTACAAAACTAAAAAAAAGAAGATTTTTAATATCGAACACTTCAAAAAAATATAGAAAGTTCCGAATTATAGTGATAAAGCTCCTTCATATTTTACTGATAATAATTTTATAATTGATAAGTCGATGCATGATGAATTAAAAGTTGCTTTCCAAAGTGAAATAACTCTTATACGCGCAAGGATAAAACACGTGAGAAATCGTGTTATCATGTTACTGGGAAAGAAATAACTACGCTTGCGCAAAGTTCGATCGCAAAGTTACCCCTCATTTTTATTATTCATATATGTGAAACAAATACTTGTCAAATTTCATTCCACGTGAAATCAAACGTTTAATCATCCCTTCTTTGATAAAATTGTTAAATTATAAAAACTTTGTTTACATTATTCTGTATTCTAATTATCACTGAATTACATAATGCAAAATTATTATAAAATTATTATAAAATATTTTTTATACTAACCAAAATTACAGAAATTCGCAGATGACAAAAATACAAGTAAAAAGTAATAAAAATATTTGATGATACAAATATCAAATCATACAATCAGGTTATAAATTTTTAAGATAAGAAAATATTAGCATGTAACTTTTTTCTGTATTTCTCGCTTGTAATTCTTTCTAACATTATTATTTCACTGGTTAAAAATATGAAAAATAAAAATGAATGATAACAAATGACAATTACAATCACGATTTTTGATTTGTCGAAGTTTACTGTTTGGAAATAAGAAAGCATTCTTTGTTACATTATTAGTTGTATCTATTAATATGTCGATATTTTAAATGGAACAATTGATGCTCTAGTGGATAGTCCATCACTTACAAGTGCAAGCACTAGACTAAAGCGAATTGATAATACATCGTTGCAAAGTGTCAAATACGCATGTGCGATTTATTTATAAGAGAAATGAAGAGAAATTCTTTCATGGAGTTATTATTTATGGGAAATAAACATGTGTTATATTTCCGCCAACATCAAAATCGATTACTTAATTATACAGTATATCGCGAGGAATGGTGTATAATACCACATGTTTCTTTAAAATGATTTCACGATTATATTACGCTACATTTATATGAAATCAAGCAAATTGCATTAAAATATAGAATAGTAAAATAAAGCTATAGTACAATTGGTCAATCTAAGGGAAATTGGTTGATAGAAAGGAATGAACAAAACAATACTTTCTTTCGCGTCAAATTTATTTTGATGTTCGCGAAGAGATGATCTGGATCGATTGTTTATACATCAACATTAATCGAATTCTGTTACTCTCGGTTGGTTTGTGGCCTTATCAGCAATCAAAACTCGTTGCATTTCAATTAATTCTGTTTTTTGCTATTTTGACAACCTGTGTTATATTTCAGGTACGTTTATAATTTTAATTGTACGAATGAACAAATAATTTACTGTTAGTTTTATTTATTGTAATATTTCATTTTCGTTGCAAACATATTATTGTAATTATTCTCTTTTTACATTCTTTCATTCTATAACGTTAAATACATACATACACACACACACACATATATATATATATATATATATATATATATATATATATATATATATATGATTTAGGACTTGTAATTTATAATCAAATTAAAAATAATAATAATTTTAATACAAATAATAGAATATAAAATAATTTTATTTGCAGTTTACAACACTTTTAACTTCAAAATGTACTCCGGATCTTTTGATCGATGTTTTTTCTTCTGCATCATTTTACATTATTTTTGTTATTAAATACAGTTGGTTCAGAATTAACATTAATATTGTAAGTAGACCGAAATTTTGCATAACATATTCGTGTGAGTTGACAAACAAACATTTCACAAAAATAAATTTTATCATAATATGAATATATCCCTTCTTTAAATTTAATAAAAATAATACCGTACAAAAAACGACAGGTGAAATATTTATTGGAGCAGCTGCAGAAGACCTATAATCAATTAACGGATGAAAATGAAATTTGTATTATAAGAAAGTATGGCAAATACGGAAAACGTTACACGGTTGGATTAACATGTAAAATAACTGTTTTTGTCTTTTGTTAAATGTTAAGTATACATGTTTTGTTTGAAAGCAATTAGTAAATTTTTACAGTAAATCTTTTCAACGTTTTATAGTGTTTGTCATATTAATTATACCCATTCCACTTTTGTATCCATTCTGGCTGTACTTTCTCGATACTCCAGTAACTATAAATGACTCTCGACCACGTTTTTTGCTTCCACATAGTACTGAATACTTTGTCGATCAAAAAAAATATTTCTATTGGATTTTATTGCATGCAAACGTAGCTTTACTAATAGGAATAGTTACAATATTAGCGTCGGGAACTATACTTATAGTCTATCAACAATATGCCTGCGGAATGTTTCGAATCGCCAGGTAAGAAGATAAAATGCAGAAACTATGAATTTTTGAAAATATGAAGATTTAAGAGAGATATGTAATTATGGGGAAAAATCGCTTACAGTTATCGTATCGAACAATCAGTGGCAGTCAATATTTCACAAAAGGGCAGTCTACGAAACAGAAATTTGATTTACAAGGAATTGATTCGTGCCGTGAATATGCATCGCGAAGCCATGAGGTGAATATTAAATAAATAATATATAAATATATGCTTAATGCTCTCTTTTTTTCAAAGATTCTCAGACTCATCCATATCCAGATTTAAAGTAATGTTTTCTTTTATGATAGCAGTCGGAGTGATTAGTGCAAGTCTCAATCTTTATCGAGTAAGTCTTAAATTTTCTCCTAAAAGTATATTTATAAACATTATCATGGAATTAGTTACTATTGAATTTTCTAATAGCTATTAAATTTTCGCTGATTATTCTGTCTGATTCGAAATTCCATTTGTAATTAATATTCAGTTCTTACTAATTTTATTATTACACTTGCATTTCAGATTTCTCAGATACTATCATTCGGATATGATGTCAAGAAACTTTTATTTCCTTTAATGCGTGTGATAATTTTCCCGTTCTACATGTTTATAGGAAATTATGTTGCGCAAAAAATTATAGATCATAATAATGTTGTGTTTGCCACTACGTAAGGAAAATATCTATACCATACAATCATGTACGCGCACTCGTTCTGCCAATTTAAAAAATAGAATTATAATTATACTCTAATTTTAAAAAAACGAACATAATGTGCGTGTGGAATACAAAAGTAATTATCGAATTTTTTTACGCATCTACAATCAAATTAATTTGTCGTTATGTAGATATAATATTCGGTGGTATGCAACTTCTTTAAACGTACAAAAGATGATTCTATTCCTATTACAAAGAAGTACCAAGGTTTTTTCTTTAAATATTGCTGGATTATTTGTGGGATCATTAGAGGGTGCAGCTACGGTAAGAGATACATCAGAATATATAATATGTTTGTTTTAAATGTATAAAGTCTGTTCTATTTTTTAAATAATAGTGTTATAAAATAGAGTATTTGGAATAAGACTCATTTTGTTTAAAAAGATTTATATAAGGACTATGTATATTTATATATAATAAATATATATAGAAATTTTTAATTCTTTTTCGATGTTATGACGATTCTATTTTTAAAATCAAAGAATATATGCATTTTATTTTAATCTTATATAGTATTTTATGGGAAAGTCGATAACTTACAATAAAGTAAGATTTTCACTAGTCGTTAGAGATATCATCATTTATGTTGTCTTTATATGAGGAGAGAGACAAAATATCTCTTATAAAAAATTGTTTATGAATCTTAATTTTGAATATTATATAATTTTAAAAATTATTTATTATATTATTATATAAATCTTCTTAAACAAAGTAACTAATATTCTTTTGACTTATCAATCTTTTTAACAAATTTTTTTTATAACATTATTATTTAAAAGATTAATTAATTGTATATTTAATTTAAACATGGTATATTATGAAGAAAATATATTTATTTATTGTAAATTATATTTAATTATTATATAAAACAAGTCATATGAAAAAAGAGAAAATATAAATCTCATTACAGTTGTCGAGTAGCGCAATATCATACTTCACCGTTCTTCACTCGATGCAGACTTGATATAAGATGTATTAGTTATGAATTGAATTGAATTAAAATAGTCAAAATAACTAGTTGTTCATCACAAATGATATTATTTATTATTCACAAAATACTAGTGGATCGATAAATGAAACTGTAATCTAAGTATCTAATTGTTAAGGAAATAAAAAAGCATATAAAACAATGTTGACAGTAAATTAAAAAAACATGTTCTTTTTATATTGTTATTATAACAATTCATTATTGTATAACAAATTAGAAGCACCTAAGCTACATGGAGCAAAGCTAAAACGCGTTAAAATATGTCATCATGAACTAACAAGCGTAACAGTAATTCTATTAAGATATAATATATAAGATTCCTTGTTCAGAGGTATTCTATAACAAATATAAGCATCCATTGACGTATTATTGTAAAAGTGCAAGTAATGCCGCGAATGTGTGAAATAAGATTATGTACAAAACTAAGAAAAAGAAGATTTTCAATATCGAACGCTACAAAAAATGTAGAAAATTCCAAATTATAGCGATAAAGCTTTTTCATATTTTGCCGATAATAATTTTACAGTTGATAAGTCGATGTATGATGATTCGAATGTTGCTTTCCAAAGTGAAACAATTCTGGTAAAACTGCTGTTTAGGGGACCCAGCCCCAATGACCTTGATTTTAACATATGTTGTCTGGGTCACCGTCCTGAGAAACGTGGATGAGGTTTTAGCCGTCGCTCGTTGTTTATTAAAAAGTTATTAACAAACGAAGTTTTACGAATGGAACTTAATTTTCGGACACTATTTTAGATAATTGTACATATAAAACAGTAAATCATGGAACTTAATTTTCGAGCACCATCTATGCTAAATCTGTACTTCTTGAGGGGAAATCAACACACACACACACACACACACACACACACACACACACACACACGCGCGGTGGATGCAAGGGGGCCTTCGGCCCTGCTCTTGCAACCACCCCATCGGTAGGGGACGCATTGCGAAGAGTTCCATCACAATGGATGTATGCTGTAAGTTGTAAAGCGAGGTCCACTTTGCCTACCGATGGGGTGGTTAGGGGGAAGGGCGAAGGCACCCTTGCACCCCCCGCATATGTGTGTGTGTGTGTGTGTGTGTGTACACATACATTTGTGATATTTTTAATTGTATTAAATTCTATATAAATTAGAAATTAGAAATTTATTGAATATTCAAATTTTCTAATGGATACATCAAATTCATAATATCGAAAAAGGCATTAATCCGTTCATCGAAATTGTATGTCCTTTTAAATAAGAATTCTGCGATGTAATGTGTGAAATGGCAATCATAGATATCATAACGAGGAATTTTCGCTCGCATATCTCTCTACAATCTTTTTATATTCTGCGTGTGAACGCCAGTTTCAGGATCTACAAAGTTGGTGGCATGGTTTACTGTTTTATGTGTATAATTTTCACAATTATCTAAAATGGTGTCCGAAAATTAAGGTGTCCATTCATAAAACTTCTTTTGTTAATAACTTTTTAATAAACAACGAGCGACGACTAAAATCTTCTCCATGTTACTCAGGACAACCTTGACAACATATGTCAAGGTCATTGGGGGTGGGTCTCATAAACAGTAGTTTTATCACAACTCTTATAGGCGAAAGGATAAAACACGTGAAAAATTGTGTCACTGTGTTACTGGAAAAGAAATAACTACGCTTGCGCAAAGTTCGATCGGAAAGTTACCCCTCATTTATATTATTCATATATGTAAAACAAATACTTGTCAAATTTCTTTCCACATGAAATCAAACGCTTAATCATCTCTTCTTTGATAGAATTGTTAAATTATAAAAATTTTGTTTCCATTATTCTGTATTGTAATTATCACTCATTCACGTAATGCAAAATTATTATATAAAATGATTAATTATAAAGTTATTATAAAATGATTATAAAATATTTTTTATACTAACCAAAATTAAAGAAATTTGCAGATAACAAAAATACAAGTAGAAAGCAATAAAAATATTTGATGATACAAATATCAAATCATGCAATATCATATTATAAAAATATGTTATAAATTTTTAAGATAAGAAAATCTTAGCATGTAACTTTTTTTTGTATTTCTCGCTTGTAATTCTTTCTAACATTATTATTTCACTGGTTAAAAATATGAAAAATGAAAATGAATGTTAACAAATGACAATTACAATCACGATTTTCGATTTGTCGAAGTTCACTATTTGGAAATAAGAAAACATTCTTTATTACATTATTATTTGTATCTATCAATATGTCGAAGTTCTAAATTCACACTACTAATGAGCAACTAATGATCTGGTGGATAGACCGTCATTTACAAGTGCAAGCGCTAGACTAAAGCAAGTTGATAATACATCGTTGCAAAGTGTCAAATGCGCATGTGCAACTTATTTATAAGGGAAATGAAGAGAAATTCTTTCATGGAGTTGTTATTTATGGGAAATAAACATGTGTTATATTTCCGCCAACATCAAAATCGATTACTTAATTATACACTCCATCGCGAGGAAAGGTATATATAATTCCACATGTTTTTTTTAAAATGATCTCACGATGATATTATGCTGCATTTACATGAAATCAAGTGATTCAGAATTTATAATAGTAAAATAAAGCTATAACATAAATGGCCAATCTAAGGGAAATTGGCCGATCGAAGGGAATGAACAAAACAATATTTTTTCATTAAATTTATTTTGATGTTCGCGGAGAGATGATCTGGATCGACTGTTTATATATCAACATTAATCGAATTCTGCTACTTCTGGTTGGTTTATGGCCTTATCAGCAATCGAAACTCGTTGCATTTCAATTAATTCTGTTTTTTACTATTTTGACAACTTGTGTTATATTTCAAGTACGTCTATATTTTTAATTGTAGGAATAAACAAATAATTTACTGTTAGTTATATTTATCGTAGTTTTTCATTTTCGTTACAAATATATTATTGTAATTATTTTCTTTTTACATTCTTTCATTCTTTAACGTTAAATTCATACACATCTACATACACACACACATATATATATATATATATATATTATATATATATATATATATATATATATATATATATGATTTAGGACTTGTAATTTATAATGAAATTAAAAATAATAATAATATTAATACAAGTAATAGAATATAAAATAATTTTATTTGCAGTTTACAACACTTTTAACTTCAAAATGTACTCCGGACCTTTTGATCGATGTTTTTTCTTCTGCATCATTTTACATAATTTTTGTTATTAATTATAGTTGGTTTAGAATTAACATTAATATTGTAAGTAGACCGAAATTTTGCATAACACATTTATGTGAGTACACAAACAAACATTTCACAAAAATAAATTTTTTCATATAATATGAACATATCTCTTCTCTAAATTTAATAAAAATAATACCGTATAAAAAATAATAGGTGAAATATTTATTGGAGCAACTGCAGATGATCTATAATCAATTAACGGACAAAAATGAAATTTGTATTATAAGAAAGTATGGCAAATATGGAAAACGTTACACGGTTGGATTAATATGTAAGATAACTGTTTTTGTTAAATGTTAAGTATATATGTTTTTGTTTGAATGCAATCAGTAAATTTTTGCACAGTAAATCTTTTCACATAATGTGTATTATTGATTATTAAACGTTCTATAGTGATTGCCATCTTTACTATACCCATTCCACTTTTGTATCCATTCTGGTTGTACATTTTCGATTCTCCATTAATTATAAATGACTCTCGACCACGTTTTCCGCTTCCACATAGTACTGAGTATTTTGTCGATCAAAAAAAATATTTCTATTGGATTTTATTGCATGCAAACGCAGCTCTATTAATAGAAATAGTTGCAATATTAGCGACAGGATCTATATTTTTAGTCTGTCAACAATATGCCTGCGGGATGTTTCGAATTGCCAGGTAAGAAGATAAAAAGAAACTATTAATTTTTGAAAATATGGAGATTTAAGAGAAATATATAATAATGAAAAAAGAATCGCTTGCAGTTATCGTATTGAACAATCACTGGTAGTTGATATATTACAAGAAGGTAGTCTACAAAACAAGAATATGATTTACAAGAAATTGATTCGTGCCGTGGATATGCATCGCGAAGCCATGAGGTGAATATTTAATGAATAATACATAAATATATGTATTATTCATTAAATATTCACCTCATGGCGTAATGCACTCTTTTTTCAAAGATTCTCAGACTCATCCATATCCAGATTTAAAGTAATGTTCTCCTTTATGATAACAGCCGGAGTGATTAGTACAAGTCTCAATCTTTTTCAAGTAAGTCTTAAATTTTCTCTTAAATGTACATTTATAAACATTATCGTGGAATCAGTTACTATCGAATTTTCCAATAACTATTAAATTTTCATTGATTATTCTGTCTGATTGGAAACTCCATTTGAAATTAATGTTCACCTCTTACTAATTTTATTATTACACTTGCATTTTAGATTTCTCAGATACTGTCATTCGGATATGATGTCAAAAAACTTTTATTTCCTTTAATACGTGTGATAACTTTTATGTTCTACATGTTTATAGCAAATTATGTTGCGCAAAAAATTATAGATCATAATAATGTTGTGTTTGCCACTGCGTAAGGAAAATATCTATACTATACAATCATGTACGCGCACTCGTTCTGCCAGTTATAAAAGGAGAATTATGATTATACTACAGGGTGCATTAGACCACCCGTGCCAGCCGAATATCTCAAAAACCGAGAACGGTAGACAAAAATGTTTCCTACAAAAGTTGTAGGGTTTCGAGTAACGCATTGTCGTGGAACGGATGGTCTGATATACGCTGTATAATTCAAAAAACGAATATATGCGTATGAAACAAAAAAGTAATTATTGAATTTATTTAATCATATCCAATTAAATTAACTTGTCATTATGTAGATACAATATTCAGTGGTATACAACGTCTTTAAACGTACAGAAGATGATACTATTCCTCTTACAAAGAAGTACCAAGATTTTCTCTTTAAATATTGCTGGATTGTTTGAGGGATCATTGGAAAGTGCAGCTATGGTGAGAGATACGTATATCAGAATATGTAATATGTTTATTTTAAGTATATAAAGTCTGTCATATTTTTTTAATAATAAAATTAAGTATATAAGTATATAAGTTATATTTTTTTAATAATAAAAAAAAGTATTTGAAATAAGATTTACTTTGTTCAAAAAGATTTATATAATGACTATATACATTTACATAATGAATATATATGTACATATATATATATGTACATATATATATATATATATATATATATATATATGTAAATGAAACTGTTACAATATCAAAAAAAATGATAAAAACTTTCTATATATATATATATATATATATATATATATATATATATATACCTATATAGAAAGTTTTTATCATTTTTTTTGATATTGTAACAGTTTCATTTTTGAAATCGAATAATATATGCATTTTATTTCAATCTCGTACAGTATTTTATGATAAAGTCGATAATGTGCAATAAAGTGAGATTTTCACTAGTTATTGTTAGAGATATTATCATTTGCGTGTTTTTATACGAGAGGAGAAACAAAATATCTCTTATAAAAAAGTGTTATGAATCTTAATTTTAAATACTGTTAAAAATTATTTATTATATCATTGTATAAATCTTCTTAAACAAAATAACTAACATTCTTTTTAATTGTCATTCTTTTTAACAAAAATTTTTTATAACATTACTATTTAAAAGATTAATGGAATGTACAATGTGTTTCCGCAACATACAGATCATTAAGTCAGGATGCACATCGTCAGGGGCATATTTTATTGGGCTCGCTGAATATGATTAGAATGCGAGTTTAACGGGGAAAGAAAAGGGAGGGAAATCGTACCATTTGATTATAATAAACAATTGCGAAATTTAATAATATAGATAAAATATATATTTAATAATACATATTATATATTTATATGTAATATATTTTTAATATTATAGATAATAATAATATATATAATATAATAATATAATAATAATATGTATAATATATAATGTAATAATAATATATATAATATATTCAATTCTAATAAACTGACAAATTTATTTAATAACAGATTATAATATTTAATCATAATATTTAATAATAATAACATATAAATAATAACATATAAATAATAACATATAAATAATAACATATAAATATTAATAAATATTAACACATATTAATAACGTAAATTTAATAAATAAATTCGAACAAATTTAGTAAAAAATAATAAACAAATATTATAAAATATACTTAATAAAATATATAATAACAAATAATTTTGATCTTTAAACGTAATAAATTATAATAAATGTTCAATATAATCATCATCTTCTTCTAAACATAAAACAATTCTGTGCATGAAATTTTCTTTCACGCGACCTATGAGAGAAGTGATCTCCGCACATGCGTTCGAATTCTATTTTCAAGAATTTCTGCACTTTCCGGTAGAGTGCGATACATTTTATTTTTTAAGATATTCCACATAAAAAATTCCATAGCCATAAGTTCCATGGGCAGAGATCACTCTTCTGATAAAACAAGTGAGAGACATTTTCAGCCGGATTGCTCTATGTTTAGAAGAAAATGATGATTATATCAAATTTTTATAATTTATTATCTTTAAAAATCAAATATATTTTTCATTATAAGTATTTTTTAATATATTTGTCCAAATTTGTTTATTAAGTTTTATTGATGTTATTTTATGTATCATTATTTTATTTATTATTAGGAAAATATTTTATTTATATTATTAAATTTCACAACTGTTTATTATAATAGAGTGATAAAAACAAATTCCTTTTTCCTTATTCCCATTTTGATCTTATTCTGCGAGCCGAATAAAGCATGCCTTTGAGTTGGCAGATAGGCCACCCGACTTAATGATGTGTATGTTGCAGAAACATCTTGTACATATACATTTCAACTAAACATGGTATAATGAAGAAAATATATTTATTTATTTGTGAAATATTTTTATTTACTAAATAAACCAAGTAGCATGAAAAACGAGAAAATATAAATCTTATTACAGTTGTTGAGTACCGAAATATCATACTTCACCGTTCTTTACTCGACGCAAACTTGATACAAGATGTATTAATTACTAAGTTAATTGAATTAAAATAGTCAAAATAACTAGTCGTTCATCACAAATGATATTATTTATTATCCACAAAACACTAATGGATCGATAAATGAAACTGTAATCTAAGTATCTAATTGTTAAGGAAACAGGAAAGCACATAAAACAATGTTGACAGTAAATTAAAAAAAACATGTATGCTTTATCTTGTTACTGTAACAAATTAATAGCACTTAAACTATATGGGGCAAAAAACGCGTTAAAATGTCATCATGAGCTGACAAGCGTAACAGTAATTCCTTTAAGATATATAATTCCTTGTTCAGAGCTATTCTATAACAAATATGAACATCCATCAACGTATTATTGTAAAAGTGCAAGTAATGTGAAATGATTATGTACAAAACTAAAAAAAAGAAGATTTTCAATATCGATCACTTCAAAAAAATATAGAAAGTTCCGAATTATAGTGATAAAGCTCTTTTATATTATGCCAATAATAATTTTACAATTGATAAGTCGATGCATGATGAACTGAAAGTTGCTTTCCAAAGGGAAATAACTCTCATACGCGCAAGGATAAAACACGTGAGAAATCGTGTTACCGTGTTACTGGGAAAGAAATAAGTACGCTTGCGCAAAGTTCGATCGCAAAGTTACCCCTCATTTTTATTATTCATATATGTGAAACAAATACTTGTCAAATTTCTTTCCACATGAAATCAAACGTTTAATCATCTCTTCTTTGATAGACTTGTTAAATTATAAAAATTTTGTTTTCATTATTCTGTATTGTAATTATCACTGAATTGCGTAATGTAAAATTATTATAAAATTATTATAAAATATTTTTTTATACTAACCAAAATTAAAGAAATTCGAAGATGACAAAAATACAAGTAGAAAGTAATAAAAATATTTGATGATACAAATATCAAATCATACAATATCATGTTATAAATTTTTAAGATAAGAAAATCTTAGCATGAAACTTTTTTTGTATTTCTCGCTTATAATTCTTTCTAACATTATTATTTCACTGATTGGAAATATGAAAAATAAAAACAAATGATAACAAATGATAATTACAATCACGATTTTCGATTTGTCGAAGTTTACTATTTGGAAATAAGAAAGTATTCTTTATTATTTTACATTATTATTTGTATCTATTAATATGTTGAAGTTTTAAATGGAACAACTAATGTTCTGGTGGATAGACCATCACTTACAAGTGCAAGCACTAGACTAAAGCGAGTTGATAATACATCGTTGCAAAGTGTCAAATACGCATGTGCGATTTATTTATAAGAGAAATGAAGAGAAATTCTTTCATGGAGTTATTATTTATGGGAAATAAACATGTGTTATATTTCCGCCAACATCAAAATCGATTACTTAATTATACAGTATATCGCGAGGAATGGTGTATAATACCACATGTTTCTTTAAAATGATTTCACGATTATATTACGCTACATTTATATGAAATCAAGCAAATTGCATTAAAATTTAGAATAGTAAAATAAAGCTATAGTACAATTGATCAATCTAAGGGAAATTGGTTGATTGAAAGGAATGAACAAAACAATACTTTCTTTCGCGTCAAATTTATTTTGATGTTCGTGGAGAGATGATCTGGATCGATTGTTTATACATCAACATTAATCGAATTCTGTTACTCTCGGTTGGTTTGTGGCCTTATCAGCAATCGAAACTCGTTGCATTTCAATTAATCCTGTTTTCTGCTATTTTGACAACCTGTGTTATATTTCAGGTACGTTTATAATTTTAATTGTACGAATGAACAAATAATTTACTGTTAGTTTTATTTATTGTAATATTTCATTTTGGTTGCAAACATATTATTGTAATTATTTTCTTTTTACATTCTTTTATTCTATAACGTTAAATACACACACACACACACACACACACACACACACACACACACACACACACACACACACATATACATATATATATATATAAATATATATATATATATATATATATATATATATTTAGGACTTGTAATTTATAATCAAATTAAAGATAATAATAATTTTAATACAAATGATAGAATATAAAATAATTTTATTTGCAGTTTACAACACTTTTAACTTTAAAATGTACTCCGGATCTTTTGATCGATGTTTTTTCTTCTGCATCATTTTACATTATTTTTGTTATTAAATACAGTTGGTTTAGAATTAACATTAATATTGTAAGTAGACCGAAATTTTGCATAACATATTCGTGTGAGTACGCAAACAAACATTTCACAAAAATAAATTTTATTATAATGTGAATATATCTCTTCTTTAAATTTAAAAATAATACCGTATAAAAAACGATAGGTGAAATATTTATTGGAGCAGCTGCAGAAGACTTATAGTCAATTAACGGACGAAAATGAAATTTGTATTATAAGAAAGTATGGCAAATACGGAAAACGTTACACGGTTGGATTAATATGTAAGATAACTGTTTTTGACTTTTGTTAAATATTAAGTATACATGTTTTGTTTGAAAGCAATTAGTAAATTTTTGCAGTAAATCTTTTCGCATAATGTGTGTATTATTGATTATTAAACGTTTTATAGTGATTGTCATATTAGCCATTCCACTTTTGTATCCATTCTGGCTGTACTTTCTCGATATTCCAGTAACTATAAATGACTCTCGACCACATTTTCCGCTTCCACATAGTACTGAGTACTTTGTCGATCAAAAAAAATATTTCTATTGGATTTTATTGCATGCAAACGTAGCTCTATTAATAGGAATAGTTACAATATTAGCGTCGGGAACTATACTTATAGTCTATCAACAATATGCCTGCGGGATGTTTCGAATCGCCAGGTAAGAAGATAAAATGCAGAAACTATGAATTTTTGAAAATATGGAGATTTAAGAGAAATATGTAATTATGGGGAAAAAATCGTTTACAGTTATCGTATCGAACAATCAGTGACATTCGATACTTCACAAAAGGGCAGTCTACGAAACAAAAATTTGATTTACAAGGAATTGATTCGTGCCGTGAATATGCATCGCGAAGCCATGAGGTGAATATTTAATGAATAATACATAGATATATGCGTAATGCTCTCTCTTTTTTCAAAGATTCTCAGACTCATCCATATCCAGATTTAAAGTAATGTTCTCCTTTATGATAGCAGTCGGAGTGATTAGTACAAGTCTCAATCTTTTTCGAGTAAGTCTTAAACTTTCTCTCAAAAGTACATTTATAAACTGTATCATGAAATCAGTTACTCTCGAATTTTCCAATAACTATTAAATTTTCTCGAATTATTCTATCTCATTCAAAATTACATTTAAAATTAATGCTCAGCTCTTACTAAAATTATTATTGCACTCCCACTTTAGATTTCTCAGATGCTGTCATTCGGATATGATGTCACGAAACTTTTATTTCCTTTATCACGCGTAATCACTTTCATGTGGTATATGTTTATAGGAAATTATGTTGCGCAAGAAGTTATGGATCATAATAATAATGTGTTTATCACAGTGTAAGGAAAATATCTATATCATACAATCACGTACTCGTTCTGCCAGTTATAAAAATAGAATTATTAGATTATACTATAATTCAAAAAACGAATATATACGTATGGAACACAAAAGTAATTATCGAATTTTTTAATTCATATCCAATCAAATTATTTTGTCATTATGTAGATACAATATTCGGTGGTATACAACTTCTTTAAACGTACAGAAGATGATACTATTCCTATTACAAAGAAGTACCAAGATTTTCTCTTTAAATATTGCTGGATTGTTTGTGGGATCATTGGAAGGTGTAGCTATGGTGAGAGATACGTATATCAGAATATATAATATGTTTGTTTTAAGTGTATAAAGTCTGTTATATTTTTTTAATAATAAAATTATAAAAAAAAGTATTTGAAATAAGACTTACTTTGTTCAAAAAGATTTATCAAAAAGATTATAATGACTATATACATTTATATAATATATATGTATCATGTATAACCATTTTTTCTGATATTGTAACAGTTTTGTTTTTGTAATCGAACAATGGGTATGTTCTTTTTAGCTGCACTGCTGCACTAGTGCAATAAGTTAGAAAGAGATAAACATACTTTCTTTCACTCTAACTAATTGCACTAGTACAGTAGTGCAGCTAAAAAGAACAGTCTCAATATATGCATTTTATTTCAATCTCATACAGGATTTTATGATAAAGTCGATAATATGCAATAAAGTGAGATTTTTCATTAGTTATTGTTAGAGATATTATCATTTGCGTGTTTTTATATGAGAGAAGAAACAAAATATCTCTTATAAAAAAGTGTTTATGAATCTTAATTTTAAATACTGTTAAAAATTATTTATTATATTATTGTATAAATCTTCTTAAACAAAATAACTAACATTCTTTTTAATTATCATTCTTTTTAACAAAAATTTTTTTATAATATTACTATTTAAAAGATTAATGGAATGTACAGGGTGTTTCCGCAACATACACATCATTAAGTCAGGATGCCCATCGTCAGGGGCATATTTTATTGGGCTCGCTAAATATGATTAGAATGCGAGTTCAACGGGGAAGAAAAAGGGAGGAAAATCTTACCATTTTATTATATTAAACAATTGCGAAATTTTATAATATAGATAAAATATATATTTAATAATATATATTATATATTTATATGTAATATATTTTTAATATTATAAGTAATAATAATATATATAAAATATTCAATTCTAATAAATTGACAAAGTTTAATAACAGATTATAATATTTAATTATAATATTTAATAATAAATATAAATATATATTAACACATATTAATAACGTAAATTTAACGCGTAAATGTTAACCCAATAAAGCATGCCCCTGAGTGGGCAAATAAGCCACCCGACTTAATGATGTGTTTGTTGCGGAAACATCATGTACATATACATTTAAACTAAACATGGTATAATGAAGAAAATATATTTATTTATTTGTAAAATATTTTTATTTACTAAATAAACCAAGTAGCATAAAAAACGAGAAAATATAAATCTTATTACAGTTGTTGAGTACCGAAATATCATACTTCACCGTTCTTTACTCGACGCAAACTTGATACAAGATGTTAATTACTAAATTAATTGAATTAAAATAGTCAAAATAACTAATGGTTCATCACAAATGATATTATTTATTATCCACAAAACATTAATGGATCGATAAATGCAACTGTAATCTATGTATCTAATTGTTAAGGAAACAGGAAAGCACATAAAACAATGTTGACATTAAATTAAAAAAACATGTATGCTTTATCTTGTTACTGTAACAATTCGTTACTGTAACAAATTAATAGCACCTAAACTATATGAAGCAAAACTGAAACACGTTAAAGTATGTCATCATGAATTGACGAGCGCAACAGTAATTTCTATTAAAATGTAAGACTCTGTTCGCAAGTATTTTATGAGAAATTTATCCAATAATATTAGTATGTGTGTGCAATTGGACGTATGTCCAATAGAATACTATTATATATACTATACCAGAAAAATGAAAATTATTTTTTAATATTTTTTAATATTAAATGTTACGATAAAATGTAGGAAGTTCTAAATTAGAAATTAAACTTCCTACCTTATATTCCGCTCGCAATAATTTTATAATCGATACGTTTATACACATGCATGACAAGTCAACAAGTCATAACGCTCCTCTTTAAAATGAAACATCCCCAACGAGTGCACGCACAAGACTGAGGCATATGAAACCATCGCTGGAAAAGAGGCAATTACGCTTGCGCACACTTCGATCGACAAGTTACCCCTTCTGTATGTTTCTGTATGTGAAAGAAACATTTGTTAAATTTCTCCCTACGTAAAATCGATCATTTAATCATCCCTTTTTTAATAAAATTGTTAAATTATAGGAGCTTTATTTCCATTATTTTGAATTATCTTTAGTTTATATTAAATGACGCAATTTTTGATAAAATATATTCCGGAAGTTATTTTCGAGAAAATTACAAAATATTCAATTTGAAGGAAGAAAAAAAAGAAACGAACCCTTGTCGTCATTTTTTGCAATCAAACACGTTTCTATGTTCTTAGAGTAATGATTTGCATCAAGACTCAATATTTTAACCTGAATAGAATTCTTTTACTTGCAGTTGGTTTATGGCCCTATCAGCAATCAAAATTCGTTCGCCTTCAAATATTCTTATTCTTTAGCATTTTGACAAGCTTTATTATATTTCAGGTACGTCTATATTTTTAATAATATTATTGTTTAATATAAAGTTCAGTTCCGTTGTAGCAAATGCCTTAATGCTATTCCTAAATATAATTAATTATTTAAATAAATTTAATTATTTAAGATAAAATGTTAATATTTATAAATATTTATAAATAATATTTATAAATATTTTATTAAATTATTATATATAAATTATAAAGTAAAAAAATTTTATTTATTAATTGAGATAAAAGAGCGTGTTTTTTTTAATCCAATTTCTTTATTAAATTATTGATTGATTCTAGCTCACAGCGCTTATAACTGCAGAATGTACACCTGAGTTTATCATCAAAGTTTTTTCTACCGCAATGTTTTTTGGTGTTTACGTAATTAAATATTATTCTTTTTGGATGAATGCTCATAGTGTAAGTTGATTCTTCTCATTGAATTTGTTCAACTTTTCTAAATAAATAAATTTGTAGACGTAATAATTTAAATTGTTGAATTTAAGATAATGTAGAATATTATTATCATGGTTATTTTTATAGGTAAAATGTTTACTAGAGCAAATTCAGAATATTTGTGATGAGTTAAAAGACGAAAATGAAATTGCTATTATGGAAAAATATGGAAGTAATGCAAAGTATTTTACAACTATATGTAAGATATTATTTCTTATTACAATCAAATATTAAAGTGAACTCACTACAATCGCGATAGAAATCCAAATATTTCAATAAAATATTTAAAAAATTAACTTAATCATTCAACATATTTATTTTGATTGCTTTGATTAATTTGATTACTTTATATATATTTAACATAATTCTAATAAAATAAAAAGTTATAAAAATTGCAATACGAAAGAATTTATATTTTACATTTTTGTACGTGTTTAATTATTGAGAGTAATCATTATATTATTACATTAAAAATATACCAAATTTTACAATCAATATATTACAAAAATATTAGAAAAAACAAACACTGAAGCAATAAAGCTTTTAAAAAAGATATCGATGTTTCTTGAAAACATGCAGAAACGACATATTTTGAAACATAAACAAATAGCAGTTTATATAACTATTTCTTCTAAATGTCCTTAGCGCTCGCTATTTGCGGTGTATTTATTGCCATTTTACTGCCAATTTGGCCACAGGTTCTTGGTAGTGATTTACATATAAACGAATCTCAACCACGCCAGACAGTGCAAATCGTGACTGAGTATTTTGTCGATCAAGAAAAATATTTCTATTTAATTTTATTACATAAAAACATAGTTATTTGTATAGGGGCAACTACATTGACAGGAACAGGAACAATACTCGTAGGATATGTTATATATGCATGTGGAATGTTTCGAATGGCAAGGTGAACAAATTGAATTTAGAAATAATTATGAAAATAATTGCAAATCTTTTGTTTTTCTTCTTAATATATGTGAATATTACTAATATTACTAATTTTATATAAAAGTTATACAGTATGTCTAAAAATAAATAATATTATTTCGTATTTTTATCCTATTTTAAATAAAAATATTTTTTTTATAGTATCAAAGAGCTCTAATTTCGATGCAAGAGTATTTTATGAAAAAATAAAGAAAAGATATTAATTAAAAATGTTTAATGACTTTGCACTAAGTTTCAAAAGTTTTTCAAAAAAGTTTTTGTATCCACTGCAAAGCCAATAAAATTTTAACGTTATTTTAAAATTCGATACAATAGATACAAAAGAAAATTTATCGAATTTTTTGAAAAAATTCTTGCCATAACTACAACAATCTCCTAAAGATATATGTGTCTATATCTTTAGACACATATATCTTTAGGAGATTGTGTCCTAAAGATATACATACGTCCTTGATATACGTCGAAACGAACGATTATTATTATGATTAGTCTCGCTGTATGAAAAATATTTGAATCCACAATTTCTTATCTAAAATAGGAACAAAAAATACGAAAAAATGTTATTTCTTTGTATATATCTTATATAACTATAGAAAAAAATTATATTCATAGTTATCGCATCGAAAATGCAATGACCACTAAAATACTCAACAATATTAATCTGGAAAATCAAACTATAATTTATAAACAAATCATTGATGCTGTTGAAATTCATTGCAAGGCTATAAAGTTGGTATGCATGCTATAGCAATTACATAGTGATTATTGTAATTGCATTTCATTTTTCTTAAAGGTTTTCCGAATTTTTAACATCTGCTTTTAAAGGCTCTGTCTCCTTATTAGTAATAATTAACGTGATTTCTTTGAGCCTGAATATTTTTGGAGTAAGTTTTTTCTTAAAAATCTTGAAATTTATATTTTTTTCGAATTCTGGGAACTTATTGTTCAAGAATGTAACATATATAAAAAATATTTTATAAAATTCGACGAATTCGTAAATGACAAAAATACAATCAGGAAGTAATAAAATGATAATACAAATATCACATAGTGCAATTATAATTCATAAATTTTATAGAAAAAAAAATCTGAGCAAGTGAATTTTTCGTATTTTTCGCTTATAATTTGTTTTCTAACATTGTTATTCTTTATATAATTATTTTTTATAAGAATAAATTATTCTTTATAAAGAATAAAAATAAAGAATAATAATGTAAGAAAAAAAATTATAAGTGAAAAATACGAAAAATTCACACGCTCGGATTTTTTTTCTATAAACTTTATAAATTTATAATATTATATATATGAAAAATGATAACTACACTCATATGTAATGTTTTAGATTTTTCGAAGTGCATTGCTTGGAGATAAGGAAGCATTTTTGTTACACGTGTTATTTGTGTTTGTCATTCTTTTATATATGTTTGTAGCTAATTATGCCGGCCAAGAAATTATAAATCATAACAATCACATATACTTTTTAGCGTAAGATGTAGATATTGCATTCACATAATTGTGTGTATATACACATATAATATATTCTACATATCTCCTTTATTGATTATTATATATTTATCTATTTTATTAAATAATAATTTTTTCATAGATACAATAGTCGATGGTATATAGCACCACTACACGCACAGAAGTTAATACTTTTTATATTACTAAGAGGCAGCAAAACTGTAAATCTTAATATCGGCGGACTGGTTGTGGCATCTTTAGAGTGTTTTACCATGGTAAGAGTTATAAATTACAACTCAAATTTAGAATAATACAAATTAATAATGTAATAGAAAAATTATTTTCGTTTGCAGCTAATAAAATTATCAATGTCCTACTTCACCGTTATGTATTCTATGCAAGAGTAATGTAGAAGTAAAGATACATTATCTCTTGACAGAAACTGGCTAGATACAAATCGTTTATAATACTTACTTAATATTTACTTTTCACTTTGAATACATAAAATATATGATATAGACAAATATTGAGCGATTTAATTAATACACTATCATATCATTGATTTTTTTTCTGTTGCAATGTTTATAAAATCAAATTACAATCATAACGTTTGAATATTATATATCAATTTAGTCTTAAAATACTTAATTTAAGATAAATTAAATATTACATTAAATTAAGTCATTAGTTTGCATAAAATTTAAGATAAAATAAAAAATAAAATAATATATGGCACAACTCAATTGCTCGATAGAAAAAAGAGAAATATGAGAAAGAATGAACCAGTTCTTTTTTTACATCAAAACGTATGCAACAGAAAAAAGAAAAAATTTTTTATAATAAATTTTATAATAAATAAGAAAAACGAAAAAAATCCTGAGTTCAATAGCTTAGTTCTTATCTCATGTTCCACCGATAATAATTTTATAATTGATACGCCTATACACATGCATGACGAATCTATTAATATTCCTCTCCAAAGCACGAAACATTTTTCACGAGTGCACGCACAAGACTGAAGCACGTAAAACCGCGTCGCTGGAAGGGGCAACTACGCTTGCGCAGACTTCGATCGATAAATTATCCCTTCTATATATTTTTCTTATGCAAATACTTGTTAAATTTTTTGAACCACGTGAAATCGATCGTTTAATAAAATTGTTAAGTTACAGAAATTTTACCTTTATTATTTTGTATTATCTTTAATTTATACTAAATTACGCAATATATGGAAAAAATGTATTCTGAAAGTGAGAAAATTAAAGAATATCCAACTTGAAATAAGAGAAAAAGAAATATGCGAATCCTTATAGACATTTTCGCGATCAAATGCACTTCGATGCTCGCAGAGTGATGATTTGCATCAAATCTCAATATTTTAATCTCAATAGAATTCTTTTACTTACTGTTGGCTTATGGCCCTATCAGCAATCAAAATTCGTTCGCCTTCAGATCATCTTATTTTTTAGCACTTTAATAAGCTTTGTTATATTCCAGGTTATATTTGTTATACGTCTATATTATTAATAATATTAATATAAAACATGCCATTTTATCAGTCATAGCCAATTCTTTTACTCAACTTCTGTATATATATATAATTAGATTATTAATAATACGATGTTATATTATTGATGATTATAAATATTTCATTAAACTATTATACGTTATATATATTGTAAAACAAGAAAATTTCGCTTCCTAATTAAAATTAAAAAATAGTATTTTTAACGGTAAAAATAGACATTTTTAAATAAATTGATTAATTATAGCTCACAGCGTTCATAACTACCGAGTGTACATCTGAATTTATCATTAAGATTCTTTCTACCGCAATGTTTATTAGTGTTTATATAATTCAATACTATGGTTTCTGGATGAATGTCCATAATGTAAGTTGATTTTCTTCACTTTATATTAATTGATATAACTTTTCTGAATAAATAAATTTTTAGATGCAATAATTCAAATGGTTAAATTTAGAACAATATTGAATATTATTATTATGAATATTATTATTATTATGGTTATTATATTATTATTATTATTATGGTTATTATTATATAGGTAAAATGTTTATTGGAGCAATTTCAAAATATTTGTAACGAGTTAAAAGATGAAAACGAAGTTGCTATTATTGAAAAATATGGAAATATCGCGAAATATTTCACATTATACGTAACTACTATATGTAAGATTATTATTTTATAACTACACTAAAATAAAATTAAATGAACAAATGAAATTAAACAAACTACAATCGTGATATAAATTAGAAATTGTAATTAATCTGATTAATCACACATTTTTAATCTACATATATTTATCAGATTTCAATTAAAATAAAAAATTATAAAAATTTCATTATAGGTAGTATATTTATATATATTTTTTTATATTATTTTATAAATACTGTTTTATAAATAGTTAATTATTTATATGATTATTTTATAAATAGTTACAATTGCATTATCATATTAGAAATATACAAAATTTTGCACCTAACATTTAGCAAAAATGTTAAAATAAACAAGTAATTAAATATATGAAAGATAATACAATTATTTAAAAAATATCGTTATAAATAAATATCGTTAATTGGAACATGTATGAACAATATATTTTAGAACATAAATGAACTATAAGTTTATATAATTATTTTTTTTTAAATGCCCTTAGTGTTGCCTAGTAGTACACTTATTTTCATTTTGCTGCCAATTTGGCAGCAGATTTTACATATTAATTTGCACATAAATGAGACTCAGCAACATCGGACAATGCAAATCGTGACTGAATATTTTGTCGATGACGAAAAATATTTCTATTTAATTTTACTGCATAGAAATATCGCTATTTGTATAGGGGCAACTGTGTTAACAGCAACCGGAACAACACTTGCAGGATATATTATATATGTATGTGGAATATTTCGAATTGCAAGGTGAAAAAATAAATTTAAGAATAAATATGAAAACGAATCTATCGTTTGTTTATTTTTTTTCATATATAAATATATTTTATAAAAATATAGCGCGTCTATGAAAAGTAAATAATATTTCCCATTTCTTTCTATTTTAAATAAAAACCTACAAAATTTTTTTTTAATTAATAAAAAATCCTATTTTATTGATCTACGGACATGTGTATGCGTATATGTGTGTATGTAAAAAAATGTTAAAATTTAAATTTGCACCATTTTTAATGTGAGTTTATGAAAATAAATAATATATTCATAAATATAAGTTATATTATTTTCAGAAAAAAACAAAAAATTATTAATTAGTTTTTCTGTATATCATAAAAAAATATCAGAAACTGCAATTTTTTATCTAAAAAATGGATAAGAAATGCGAAAAGACATTTTTCTAATATATTCCTTATATTGATAGACGAAAAATTATTTCTAGTTATCGTATCGAACAAGCAATGTCTATTGAAGTAATGGAAAACATTAATCTTGAAAATCAGACTATGATTTATAGAAAAATAAGTGATGCTGTTGAAATCCATCGCAAGGCTATAAAGTTGGTATGCATACCATAACAATTGTATATAATGTTGATTGTAATAGTGTTCTATTTTTTTTAAAGGTATTCCGAATTTTTATCATCTTGTTTTAAAGGCACTTTCTCCTTATTATTAATAATTGGTGTGATTTCCTTGAGCCTGAATACTTTTGGAGTAAGTTTTTTCTCAAACAATTAAAATTTACTGTTGAGTTTAACAAATACAATACTTCATACTAATTAAAATTCAAAGAATTCATAAATGACATAAACACAATCAGGAAGCAATAAAAATAATTAATAATACAAATATCAAATCGTGCAAATTATAAAATGATAAATTTTCAAGAAATAAAAATTTTACATGTAAATAGATTTTCCGTATTTCTCGACTATAATTTTTTTTACAGTATTATTTTATGTTATTATAAAATAATAATAAGTAATAGTATTATAAAAATATGATAATTACAATCAAGATGTTTTAGATTTTCCGAAATGCATCGCTTGGAGATAAAGAATCACTTTTGGCGCATTTCTTACTTGTATTTGTGATCCTTTTATATATGTTTATATCTAATTATGCTGGGCAAGAAATTATAAATTACAACAATCACGTATATTTTACAGCGTAAGTTATCGTTCATACAAAATATTGTGTATATACGTACACATATAATATATTCCATACACACATACACACACACACACACACACACACACACACACACACACACACACACACACACACTATATATATATATATATATATATATATATATATATATATGTATATATATATATATATACATATGTGTATATCTGTTTCATTATTAATTATTTATAATTTATTGAATAAGGATTATTTCATAGATACAATAGTCGGTGGTATGTAATACCATTGCATGCACAGAAGTTGATACTCTTTATTTTATTAAGAGGAAGTAAATCTGTAAACCTCAATATTGGTGGAGTAATTGTAGCATCTTTAGAGTGTTTTGGCACAGTAAGAATTATAAATTATCATATACTTTTAAAGAGACTGCTTTATATTATAGTATTAGACATACATTATAATATTATAACAGATGTAAAATAGTAATCGAAAATTTATGTTTTTGCAGCTAGTAAAAACATCAATGTCCTACTTTACTGTAATATATTCTGTGTAAGTATAATTGCAAATTTATATATAGAATATATAAAACATGGAACTATATAGGTAAAAATTGACTAGCTACAAGTCATATGTAACTTACTTTTTGCTTTGAATACATAAAATATACGGTATGGATAAATATTAAATGAATTAATTAATACATCAATAAAATGTGATTGATATTGTTTTCTGAACGTTGCAATGTTTATGAAATTAAATCATAATTATTTCCTGTATTACATATCAATTTAATCTTTATGATAAATATATTAAACATGTAGATATATAATACGTCATATGTTTCTCAAAAAAGCATAAAATGCACAACGAATGATATTTAATAATTTATAGTTGGCCTTATAAGGAATTAGCATGTTTATTTCTATTTAATTATACTACAAAAAAATTACAAATCAGAATGAATATGTGTTTGCTGTTGTAAGGAATATTTCAACTTTATATGTGAATTAAATTAATGTATTATTGTATTTGTTTTGTTAAAGATATTTATAACACAAATCAAAATTAAAAAATTCTGATAAAGATAATTTAAAAAAATAAATATGTATATATGAATATGTGTGCATATATGCGCGCATGTAATAAAAAAATTATTTACAAATTATTTATAAATTTTATGTAATTAGAATATTTCCAATTCTTTATTTCGTAGATAATTAATTATATGAACATTGGAGCTCTATATGCGAATAGGAAATGATACTTTTTCTGCTGTAAAGTTATTCTATAAGTTTCAATCTTTTGATTCTCAGTGAAGTGTTTGTACCATTCACGCATATCACTTTTCGAAGAACTTTTCTTAAGAAACTTATGTGCAATGTTATAATATATATAAAATGTATTACAATTTTTTTAATAATCTAATAAATATTATAATGAATTTTGATATCAATTGAAATTCATATTCTCTAAATCTGAAAATGAAGATTTAATACCAGAAATAAAGAGATCAATATTTACAAGCAGAATTTGTTTTTTAGATTTACTTATTCTTCTCTTTCATCTATTATGTAATCAAGAATTTAGTTAATTAGTCATAAATAAAAATTTGTGAAAAGATTTTTGTAACGATGCGCAAATGTACATATGTCGATAATCGTCTTGAAAAATTTTATATTTATACTAACAAACTGATAAAAATACGTTGATGGAACTATTGTTAAATTGCTCTGTAGAACTGACTGTACTTCACGAGTGTATATATTAGACTAAACCGTGTTAAAAATATCGCACGTAAAATGCGTGTCGAACGTGCATATGCGGTTTTCAAGAGAAACTTTTTCATGGAATTATTCCCTATGGGAAATATACGTATGTTATTATTATCGTATATATTATTTCCGCCACCGTCGAAATCGATCGCTTAATTATATCCTCTTATGCGAGGGAAGGTATAAATTTTCAAGTGTTCCGCTCTCACGACGATTACATATTGCGCTGCATTTACATTAAATTGAGCAATTTGCACTAAAAATTATCTCATAAAGTGAAAATATAGCGTAATTCAATCAGCCAATCGAAAAAGAGGATTAGATAGGCAGAGTAGATAGTGTTTGTTTCTGTGTTCGAACGCATCTTGTTGATAGAGAAATGATCTGCATAAACTGTTTGAATATCAGTCTTAATCGTATATTGTTACTCGCAGTTGGTTTATGGCCTTATCAACAATCGAAACTCGTTCGATTTCAATTGATCTTAGTTTATGCCATTCTGACAACCTGTATTATGTTTCAGGTACGTTTATATTTTTAATTATATCATTATGCAATGAATAAACTAGTTTATTACTAATTTTATTTGTTGCGATTTTTCATTTTGCATTCATGTATGTGTGTATGTATTTGGGAATGATATCTATGATTTCGAATATGTAGAAGAACTTTTTTTTATAATTATATAAAAAGCTAAAAATTTTTGTAAAGATAATTAATTTTTTTTAAATTATTATTTGTAGTTTACAGCATTATTAACATCAAAATGTACTTCTGATTTTCTCATCGATGTTTTTTCTACAGCATTACTTTATGTTATGTTTCTAATTAAGTACAGTTGGTTTCATATTAATATTGAAGTTGTAAGTATTACATATTGAATTCATGTACGTAACAGCATACATTTTGGAAAAATAAATTTTTATAAATAATATGAATACATCTTTATTTCTCTCTTTATTTCCCAAACTGTACAAACAACTTGTATAAAACAATAGATAAAATGTTCTTTGGAACAATTGCAGAACATATATAATAAGTTAACGGATAAGAATGAAATCACTATCATAAAAAAGTATGGCAGCTATGCGAAACGTTATACGGCTGGATTAATATGTAAGACAATTACTTTTTCTTTCATTAAATGTTAAGCGTATGTACATTGTTTAAAAGCATTTACCGAGATAATAATAATAATATATTATTGATTTTAAAACGTTGTATAGTCAGCGTCGTATTCATTTCACCGGCTCCAGTTTTATATTTATTCTACCCATACATTCTTGACATTGTATTATCTATAAATGAGTCTCGATCATATTCTCCAGTGCTTGTTACCGAGTACTTTATTGATCAAGAAAAATATTCTTATCTGATTTTATTGCATATAATCGCGGCTCTATTCATAGGAATAATCACAGTACTAGCGACAGGAGCGATATTTATAGTTTATTTACAGTACGCCTGCGGAATGTTTCAAATTGCCAGGTAAGAAACTATGGATTTGAAAATCGGGAAATATGAAAAAATAATATAATTTAAATATAAATATAATTTAATATAATTTAATATAATTTAACATAATTTAATATAATTTAATATAAAATTTAATTTAAATATAATATAATTTAAATATAATGTAATTCAAATATAAAAAAAATAATACTATTACGGCAAAAAAATCGCTTGCAGTTACCGTATGAAACAAGCAATAACAATCGGTAATTCACGGAAAGGCAACCTTTCACGAAACAAGAATCTGATTTACAAGGAATTGATTCGTGCTGTGGATATGCATCGCGAAGCCATGAGGTGAATATTTAATGAATAATACATAGAAATATGTGTAATGCTCTCATTTTTTTCAAAGATTCTCAGATTCATTCGTATCCAGATTTAAAGTAATGTTCTCCTCTCTGATAGTAGTCGGACTTACAAGCGCAAGTCTCAATTCTTTTCGAGTAAGTCTAAAAACTTTCCCTCGACACCTATAACTTTATCATAAGATCAATTATTTTCAAATTTTCTAATAACTATTAAATTTTTACTGATTTGTTTTAATTCAAAATTTCACGTAAAATTAAAGCTTACCTGTTACTATGATTCTTATCCTACTTGTATTTCAGATATTTCAGGCTCTGACACTCGGATATGATATTGAGGAATTTTTAGTTCCCTTAGTGTCCATGATCACTTATATATCATACATGTTCTTAGCCAATTATATTGCACAAGAAATTATGGATCACAATAATGATGTATTTGACACTGTGTAAGGAAAATATCCACTTCATACAATCACACATACGTTTCATTCTGCATAGATAATAAGAATAAAATGATCATAATTACCATAATTCAAAAAACAAACATGATGAATATACATACGCATGATAAAAATAATTAATAAATTCTCTTAGTCTTCTCTAATTATTAATGTCATCATTTAGATACAATATTCAATGGTACGCGGTTTCCTTAAACGTACAAAAGATGATACTGTTCTTATTGCAAAGAGGTACCAAAGCTTTTAATTTAAATATTGCTGGACTATTTGTGGGATCATTAGAAGGTGCAGCCACGGTAAAGAATATGTGCACCAGAGAATATGTATTATGAGAATATGTATTATGTTTGCTTTAATTGCATATATTCAATTTTTTTTAAATAATAGAGTTATAAGTAAGTCTTTCGAACAAATGGTATTTTACTTAAAATATACAGAGTGAGTAAAGCGAGTGACTTGAAAAGAAGACATTTCAGAAAAAAATGTTTCATATAAAAGTTGTAGAAACATCTATTTACTTACCTTATTAGTTTGATTTTGGAAGGCCAAGATCAAGAGAAGATCACAAGTTGAATTTTTAAAATAGAAACCCCTTTTTTATTGTACGTTCTTATAGCTTTTCAAAACACACTATAATAAAGTATTTTTTATTAAGTACTTTTGAGTTACACGATTTAAAATAATTTCTTTATTATATTATTTTGAAAAGCTTTCGAAATAAGTTATAAGAATGTATAATAAAAAATAGAGAGTTGCATTTATAAAAAATTCAATTTGACTTTATCCTAATCTTCGCAACGCCTCTAAAGTTCAAACTGATAAAATCGATAATTAGATCTTTTTAAACTCTACAACTTTTATATATATTTTTTTTTAATGTTTTGTTTTCGAAATATTTCACTGATCCGGGACTTTTTATTTACTTTGCATAATGTAATAGCAATTTTAAATTATTTTTTTTAAATATTATTCATGACAGTTTTATTTTTTCAAATGGAGAATATATTTATTTTACTACAATTTTATAAGGAATTGTATACATTTGTATAAATTGGTATGAATTTTAGTAATTTGATAAATTAGTATGAATTCGAAATTCGATAAAGAATAATATAATAAAATAATAAATATTCACAAAATATCTTCACTTGTGTTACATTTAAGTATGAGCGGAAAAGTATAACTCGAATAAAAAAGTGTTTATTAATTTTTATTTCAAATATTGCAAAATTATTTATTACTATAATTATATGAATCTTCTTAAATAAAATAACTTTAAACACCTTTATAACTCTATTATAAAATAATATAATATATATAAATTATGTTATAAAATAATATAAACTAATAAAATTAAACAATGTATATCGAATAGAGTATGTTTAACAAATAAAACGAAAGAATATACGTTTTATTACAGTTGATCAGTACTGGAATATCATATTTCACTGTTATTTACTCAACGCGAATTTGACACAAGATAGGTAAATTAATAATTTAGTCGAATAACAATAGAAGAAATATCCAGTTGGACTTCTAAATATAATATTAATTATTAAAAAGCACTTAATTAAACCTATGACTAATACTATAATAGATATGTAATTGTTAAGAAATAGAAATGCATATAAAGAATTTATTAGTCAATTTTGGATAATAATTTTTTGATAATAATTAGTAACTAATGAGAGCACACAGTAATTCTGTCAAGATGTAAGTCATTTTGTTATTAGGAAATGTTTTATAAGATATATATTCACCAATGTTAATATATATTAGTGTGTGTAATGCGGCATATATGTGGGATAAGATTATGTGTACAAAACTATATGATATTAAAGGACAAAATTTTTAATATTAAATGTTACAAGAAATGTGTTGAATCTTCTGAATTATAGTTTACGATTTTTTATTTCATGTTCGACAATACTCTTATAATTGATATATATATATATATATATATATATATATATATATATATATACATATCGAATCAACTAGCATTTCTCTTCAAGATGAAGCATTTCTCACGAGTGCACGCACACGACTGAGATAAGTGAAACCGTGTAACTAGACACAAAATAATTACGTTTGCACAGACTTTGATCAAGAAACTACCCCTTATATATGTGCCTCTATGTAATATAAATACTTGTTAAATTTCTTATCTCGTGAAATCAATTGTTTAACCACCTCTTTTAAGCTTCTTAACAAGTTCTATTATATTCCAGATATGCCTCTATATTTTTAATTATCTTATTATTTAATATGAATTTTTAGCCTTTAAGTATTAAGAAATACTTTTGCGCAACTTCTAAATATAATTAAATATAATTTGTTTTTTTCCTAATTATTACGCAGGAGAAAACATAACTAATTATAAATAATACAAAATCATAGCTAATCATAATATATAAATAAAAATATATAAATGTTTAGAAAAATGCGCAAATATGCATAAATCGTTAATTTCTTTGATAAAAATCGTATATTTATATATAATATATATAAATAATATATAAAACAATATATATTGATATTTGATGTTGTAAATGAAACTACGTATAAAGTTGGTAAAAAATATGTCGATGAGAAATACATGCAAATATATTGCACATACACAATGTATTTCAATTTTCTCAATAACATAAAAAATGATAATAAAAAATAATATAAAAAATAATATACATATAAAATAATTCCCTTTATAAAAACTTTATATTTACCAAAAATTTGAATAATCAATTCGTCGCTGTTTTATAAATAGAATAATTAATATGTTATTCCATTGGATTGACCATAACTTATGAACGCACGTATTAGAATGGAGCGCGAAATATATCGTTGCAAAGTATCGAATGCGTATGTGTGGTTCTCTATTGGGAGAAATTTTTTTATGGAATTATTATTATATTCTCCATGAGAAATAAACATGTGTTATATTTTCGTCGGCGTAGAAATCGATCGCCTAATTATAGTTTCTCTCGCAAGGAAAGACGTAAATTTCCAAGTGTTTCGATCTCACATAAATTGTTATTACATATTTTACATAAATTACGTTGCTCTTACATTTAGCAATTTGTATTATAATTTACGAAATTATCTTAATAAAATGAAACTATAGCGTAATTCAATCGGCCAATGGAAAAAAGGAAATAAACCAGTATCTTTTCTGCATTTGTCAAACGTATCTCGATACTCGTGGAGTGATGATCTGCATCGATTGTCTGCATATGAATCTTAATCGAATGCTGTTACTCGCGGTTGGCCTGTGGCCTTATCAACAATCGAAACTTGTCCAATTTCAATTAATCTTATTTTTTACCATTTTGATAACTTGTATAATATTTCAGGTCTATATTTTTAAATATATCTATGTTATGTAGCGATGAATAAATTAGTTCATTATTAGTTTTATTTGTTACGATTGTTTGTCTTGCGTTTGAATGTAATAATATCATAAAATAACATATGATAATTATTGTATAACGTTGAATATAAACATACGTGCATATAAATATATGTACTCCATATATATTTAACATTATATAATACAAATAATTTAAATTAAAAAAAAAATACTTTCTCTCTGCAATTTTCAATTTTCAATTGTATGAAACTATATTTGTGCAAAAAAAGAATTTTTCATTAAATTATGTACATACATACATATACATTTGAGAATTATTTTATATTTACAATCTAAGATATGTACTCTAATCAAATAATAAAATAGTCATATTAATAAAAAAACGTGAATATAATAAATTATTGTTTACAGTTTACAACATTTGCAACATCAAAATGTACTTCTAGTCTTCTCATCAACGTTTTTTCTTCTGCATTATTTTATATTTATTTTCTTATTCTGTATAGTTGGTTTCATATTAATATGGAAGTTGTAAGTACATATAGCATATTGAATTCGTGTGTATGTACATACATTTTGGAGAAATAAATGTTTATATATAATATGAATATATCTATTTCCCAAATTTTATAACAAAATGCATAAAAATGGCAGGTGAAGTGTTCGTTGGAACAATTGCAAAACATGTATAATGAGCTAACGGATAAGAATGAAATCACTATTATAAAAAAGTACGGTAACTATGGAAAACGCTACACAGCTGGATTAATATGTAAGAAAATTGCTTTTTATAATATAATTTTTGACAGAAAACCTTCTCACCAAATGCGTATATTATTGATTTTGAAACGTTTTGTAGTGACTGTTGTATTCTTTGCACCGAGTCTAGGTTTGTATCTACATTGGCCATATCTTGTCAATCGTTTATTACCTATAAACGATTTTCGATCACGTTCTTCTCTGTTTGTTACCGAATATTTTATCGATCAAGAAAAATATTCCTATTTAATTTTATTCCACACACTGACGGCTCTATTCATAGGAATAATCACAATAATAGCGACAGGAACATTATTTATAGTCTATGCACATTATGGCTGCGGAATGTTTCGAATCACAAAGTAAAAAGATAAAATACATAATTTATAAATTTCTAAATATTAAAAAGATACATATATAAATTATAGCAAAAGAATTGTTTGCAGTTATCGTATCGAGCAAGTAATGGCAATCGATACTTTACAAAAAAAGAGTATTCTACGAAACAAGAATTTGATTTACAAGAAATTAATTCGTGCTGTGGATATGCATCGCGAAGCTATGAGGTGATTTAATTATTTAATAGATAACAGATTATTTAATTATTTAATAGATAACAGACTATTTAATTATTTAATAGATAACAGATAAAAGTATGCGTAATGATCTTCTTTTTTTCTAAGATTCTCAGAATCATTCGTATCTAAATTTAAAGTGATGTTCTCCTGCCTCATAGCAATTGCAGTCGCAAGCGCAAGTCTCAATCTTTTTCGAGTAAGTCTTAAAACTTTTCTCTCATGCGCATCTAAAATATATTTTATCATAGGATCGGTTACTTTCGAATCGAGTTTTTCTCATTTAATGATTATTTTTAATAATCCTAATGATTATGCAATACAAAAAAATTTATTTTTCGAAAATCCTGAGGAAGCTAAAAAAACTTTAATGACTCTCCTTTTTTCATCAATCTATTTTAATTCGAAATTAGTTTAAAATAAATCCTCAGCTTTTACTAAGATTATTACACTTGTAATTCAGATTTCACAGGCACTTTCATTCGGAAATAATGTAGATGAACTTTTATTTCCCTTGATAACCGTGGGCATTTATATAGCGTATATATTAATAGCCAACATTATGACGCAAAAAATTATGGATTATAATAATAATGTGTTTGATACTGCGTAAGAAAAACATTCATACAATCACGTATACGTATTAGTTCAGCGGGTAATAAGAATAGATAAATCAATAGAATGATCATAATTACTATTATTCAAAAAATAAGCATAATCAATTATAAACATGTACGTGATAAAAATAATTAATAAATTTTCTTATTCTTCCCTAATCATTAATTTGTCATCATTTAGATACAATATTCAGTGGTACGCAGTTTCTCTAAACGTACAAAAGATGATACTGTTCTTATTGCAAAGAGGTACCAAAGTTTTTAGTTTAAATATTGCTGGATTGTTTGTGGGATCATTAGAAGGTGCAGCCAAGGTAAGGGACATGTGTAGAGAATATATATTGTGTTTGTTTTAAGTAAATACATATTTAATTATTATTTTAAATAATAGAATTACAAATAAATCTTTCAAGTAAAAGTTATTTTATTTAAAAACTATATATCATGTGACTTAAAGCAATTATAAATTATTTTTTTAAATGTTATTTATGATAGTTTTATTTTTTTTATAGAATAATCAATCCATTTTATTAGTTATTATATTCAATTTTATAAGTTATTTCATGACAGATTCGAGAGAAAAAGAGGTAATGTGCAATATATAAATTCAATAAATAAATATATATATATATATATATATATATATATATATATTCAATATATATTCAATATTTCAATATATATATATATATATATATATATATATATATATTCAATATATATTCAATATTTGTTCAAAAAATATTATTATTTTGTTGTTTTTAAGTATAAACGACAAAAAAATTTCTTGAATAAAAAAAAGTTTATTAATTTTTATTTAAAAAATGTTGCTAAAAATTATTTATTATTATTACTTTATATATGTTGTTAAATAAAATAACTTTTATTTGAAACATTCTCCATAATTCTGTTATATAAAAAAATTGCTAAGTGTTAAATTAAATAATGTACATCCTAAACATATAAGCGGGTCAAATTTTTGACAAAATAGAAAGAGTAATATGTAAAATGAGAAAATATATATCATTACAGTTATTGAGTACCATGATGTCATTCTTCACTGTTCTGTATTCTACGCGAGTTTGACGCAAGATGTGTCGATTAATAGTTTAATCAATCAATAGGAAAAAAAAATAGTTAATTAGATACAAGTGATATTAATTCCTCAGAACACTTAATTGATCGAATTAAACTTTAAGAGATAATGTATAATTGCTCAGGAAATAAAAATCATAAAAATCAACAATATTTATAGTAAATTCTGGAAACGTGTACTCTTTACCGTAACAAATTAGTAGCACATACGCTATATGGAACAAGACTGGGACATAATAAAATACGACATCGTAAACTAACAGACACACGATAATTCAGCCAAAATATATTCTTTATCACACACAAGAAATAATTTATCAGAAATATATGTACAAATGTCATTATGCATGTTTATAATGTGGTGTATGCGGCGTAAGATTATGTGTATAAAAATAGACAAATTTTTAATATTAAGTACTCCAAGAAATATTAAAAGTCTTGAGTTATAGTTGAAAATTCCTACCTCTTATTCTTCCGATGATAATTTTATAATTGATAAATCGTTACACACGCATGACGAATTAACTAACGCGTTTCTCTTCAAAGCGAAACATCCTTTATGAGTGCACGCACAAGACTGAAGCATATGAAACCGTATTGCTGGAGGAGAGCCTCTGCGTCTGCGCAGAGTTCGATCGAAAAGCTACCCCTTATGTATGTATTTCTATGTGAAGCAAACACTTGTTAAATTTCTTTCCACATGAAATCGATCGTTTAATCATTTCTTCTTTGCTAAAATTGTTAAATTACAGAAGTTTTGTTTCTATTATTTTGTATTATCTTTAGTTTATACTAAATTCTGCGATATATAATAAAATGTACCCTGAAAGTGAGAAAATTAAAGAATATTAAATTTGAAGAAAAAAAAAGAATATGCAAGTTTTTGTCGACAGTTTCGTGCTCATATGCGTTTCAAATGCTCGTAGAGTGATGATTTGCATCAAGACTCAATATTTTAATCTTAATAGAATTCTTTTACTCGCGATTGGCTTATGGCCCTATCATCAATCAAAATTCGTTCGTTTTCAGGCATTCTTATTTTTTAGCATTTTAACAAGCTTTATTATATTCCAGGTACGACTATATTTTCAATCATATTATTATTTCAATCATATTATTATTTCATATAAATTGTGTCAGTTGTAGCAAACATTTTTACACAAATATTAGTAAATTATTAATACTATAATAAAATATTACTGACGATTATAAATATTTTATTAAATTATTATATATATATATATATATATATATATATATTATATATATTTTTTTTTAAACATACAAATATTATTTGCTAATTAATATTTTTAAAAATCATGCCTTAAAAAAACCTTTTCTTAATAAATTGATTGATTGCAGCTTACAGCGTTTATAACTACCAAATGCACACCTGAATTTATCATCAAAGTGTTGTCTAACATAATGGTTTCTACAGCTTATATAATTCAATACAACTCGTTCTGGATGAATACTCATAATGTAAGTTGATTCTTCTCATTGTGTTGCATGGTTCAATTAACTTTTCTAATAAATTTTTAGACGCAATAATTCAAATTTTTGAATCTAGAACAATGTTCAATAATATTATTATAATTATTATTATAGCTAAAATGTTTATTGGAACAACTTCAAAATGTTTGTAACGAGTTAAAAGATAAAAATGAAGTTGCTATTTTTGAAGAGTATGGAAACATCTCGAAATATTTGACAACTATATGTAAGCCATTATTTCTTTACGACATGCGAAATTAAATAAAGTACAATCGCTATACAAATTAAGCATTTTAATTAATATGATTAATTATTCATAATTCTACATATTTATCATACATTTCGACTAAAATAAGAAATTATAAAAATTACATTATAGAAAGTATATTTACATACATTTCCATTTCTGTTTAATTATTATTACATTATTAAAAATATACAATATTTCACACTCACCTTTTGCCGAAATATTAGAGAGAACTAATAATTAAAGCTTCAAACAAAATAAAATTAAAAATAATTAATTAAATCATGTATAAACAATATATTCTGAGACATATATTAATTGTAGTTTATATAATTATTTTTTTTAAATGTTCTTAGCGTTTGCTATGTGCGGAGCATTTAATGCTCTTTTTTTGCCAATTTGGCCACAGATTCTTGGTAGTGATTTACATATAAACGTGTCTCAATCACGCCAAACAATGCAAATAGTGACTGAATATTTTATCGATCAAGAAAAATATTTCTATTTTATTTTACTACATAAAAATGTAGTTATTTGTATAGGGGCAACTACGCTGACAGGGACGGGAACAATGTTTATAGGATATTTTATATATATATGTGGAGTGTTTCGAATTGCTAGGTAAATAAATAAATTTATGAACAAATATACGAAATCTTTTGTTTATTCTTTCTTAATGTGTCATTAATATATTTTACAAAAATTATACAGCGCATTATAAAATAAATAATATTCTTTTGCATTACTTTCCTATTTTAAATAAAAATGTGACATTTTTTATGATATCAAACAGCTATAATTTTTTTATATTATACAAGAGTTACAATCTCCGTCAGGAAAAGATAATATATTAGAAATTGAAAATTTTTAAATTCTACTTCCTATTAAGTTACTTCTTTAAAAAAATTTTGTTTTTACAAAGCCAATACAATTTTAATGCCTTTTTAAAATGAAGAGTGTAATAGATTCAAAATAAAATTTAAATTTAAATTTATAATATATTTTTGCTGCAATTACAAATATAATATAAATTTATATCTTTGATAACAAGCTGTTAAGTTTAATGAAAACTTATTAAAAACTGTTTAATGAAATCTTATTAAAAAATTTAAATCTTTTATTGATTTTTGACTATTCTGAATATGTATGTGTGTGTGTGTGTGCGCGCGCGCGCTCGCGCGCGCGTGTGTGTGCATAAGGAAAAATGTTAAAGTTTAAATTTCCTCTATTTTTAATGGAATGTAAATTGATAAAAGTCAATTATCTGTTTGAAAAAATGAATGATTATTAATTTCCCTTTATTATAAGTAACAGACACTGCAATTTTTTATTTAAAATAGGAATGAGAAAAAGATGTTATTTTTTATCGTATCTTATATATATATATATATATATATATATATATATATATATTGAAATTAAAAATTATTGACAGTTATCGCATAGAACGTGCAATGACTACTAAAATACGAGAAAATATTAATATTGAAAATCAAACTATGATTTATAAAGACATAATTGATGCTATCGAAATCCATCGCAAAGCTATAAAGTTAGTATGCATTCGATAACAAGTATATATATTGTTGATTGTAATAATTCTATTTTTCTTAAAGATTTACCGACTTTATATCGTCTACCTTTAGCGGCTCTGTCTCCTTATTAATAATAATTGGTGTGGTTTCTTTAAGCTTGAATATTTTTGGAGTAAGTTTTTCTCGAGTATTATTGAACAAAAAAATAGATGTATATACCATTTTATAATAATCAAAATTTTAAAAAATTATAAATGACAAAAATGCAATCAGAAAGAGATAAAAATGTTGAATAATACACTGAGAAAAATCGTTTGATTGTACCAACAAGACGTATATGATTGAAGGCATTTTGATTAAATCAAACAAGAATTTCTAGTTATCATAATAAGATTTTTTATAACTAAAACGTTTAATAGATTTTACTATAAGAATTTGCTCAGTATTTTCTGGTTGGATCTATAAAATTTCTTTGCTTGCCGCTAGGCGAGCCATTTTAACTTAACTCGTATTCAATATTTGCCATGAAATGTATATAAAGAACTAGTATTAACATTAAATCCAAAGTATATATTTTTTCCTCTTACGAGCAGTAGTGCCAGAAAGAGGACGCTAGCTCTCTGATTATGTATTTGAGTTCCTTTTCTTGTATCACTGTTTATCAATTTAATTTCTAACAAATTAAATTTAAAATAATTTATTCAATAATCTTGTTGGAATTTGAACAGACTATTGAACAGACTTTTGAGATTAGATGGTCAGAATATTGAACAGACTTTTGAGATTAGATGGAAAAAATTTTAAATGACTTGGCTGACGAGTTTAATATTATTAACTAGAAAATTTGGTAAATTTAACAGGAAGAAATTAATCAGATTCATCTGGTAATTCCTACAAGAATTCTGGTTCCATTTTCCAACAGACATACTGGTTGAATCTAGAATTCTAATTAATGCAACCAGATTTTCCTCAGTGTAGAAATATTAAAATGTGCTAAATATAAAATTATGAATGCTCAAGAAAAAAATTTTAGCATGTAAATAGAATTTTCGTATTTCTCGATTTAATTATAATTTATTTTCTAACATTATTATATTCTATGTAAACTGAGCAATTGCACATGAAAAAATGATAACTACTAATCATGATATTTTAGATTTTTCGAAATGCATCGCTTGGAGATAAGGAATCATTTTTGTTAAATTTTTTATTTGTACTTGTCATCCTTATATGTATGTTCGTAGGTAACTATGCCGGGCAAGAAATTACAAATCACAACAATCACGTATATTTCGCAGCGTAAGATGTAGACATATTATTCACATAATTGTGTGTACATACGTGTAATGTATCCTATATAACTCCTTCATTATTAAATATTAATTATTTATCAAGAGATGATTATTCCATAGATACAATAGCCGGTGGTATATAGCACCATTACACGCACAAAAGCTGATATTCTTTATACTGTTAAGAGGAGGCAAAAGTGTAAACGTTAATATCGGTGGACTGATTGTGGCATCCTTAGAGTGTTTCACCAATGTAAGAATTATAAATTACAATTCAGATTTAGAATGATTCACATCAATAATATAATAGAAGACATTCTTTTATAGCTAACAAAAACATCTATGTCTTACTTTACCGTCATGTCTTCTATGCAAGAATAATGCGAAGATATAATACTTATATAAAGAAATTGGCTAGATAAAGCGGTTATGATTTACTTTTTACATTTGAAAAAATAAAATATATGATATAGACAAATAAACGAATTAATACATCGCTATAATGATTTTGTTTTCCCATTGTTGCACTATTAAGAGGAATTCACTATTTTGTTTCTAATAATAGAGATATTTATTCAATATTTATATATTATCTTTTTATATTAAATATATTATTTTTTATTTTAATCTTTATATATTAAGTACATTACGTTAATTGTATGTATATATGTGTGTAATAATGCACTATATGTTTTTCGAAAAAGCTGAAACACTGAGAGAAAGAGAGAAACACAACGAATAATATTTAATAATTCGTAGTTGGCCTCAAATATATACACAATTATAATCTGCATATTTATTAAATAAATATATTTCAAAATATTTTATATAATACTTTGGAGAGAATAATTTTGCTAACTGATTTGCTGACACATGAGAAATAGATCGACGTGATGTTCCTCTCCAAAGTCGAATTTCTCCTATGAAGGAACATAAGAATGAAACACGTGAGTCTTTGCTGGAAAAGGAATATTTGCGCCGCATACTTTGATCGCAAAGCTGAGTATTTCTTTGTATGAAATACATATCTAATAAATTTTTTTCTATGTGAAATCGACTGTTTAATCGCCTCTATTCACGAAATTATTAAATTACTAATGCTATGTTTCATATAATATTTTGTGCACTTCGATAATTATATAAAATTACATAAAAATGATATTGCTGTATCTGTATCCCTTTTCTTTTTCCTTCTCCAAATTAAGTATGTATTAAGTATATAATTTGATATAATTTATTCTATAAAATTAAAAAAGTTCGGAAAATTAAGGAATACGTACTTAATTTGGAGAAGGAAAAAGAAAAGGGATACAGATATAGCAATATCATTTTTATGTAATTTTTATGATTAAATATGACCAAATTATATCTTTGATTGCATTTAAAATATATTACTAATAGATATACTAATAAATATATTACTAATTAATAAAATAAAATTGACTCAAATAATAATAATAAAAAAAAATAATTAAAAATTGACAAGTAAAACGCAGTAAAACACGTAATTACAGCGCAAGGAAGAAATTCATCACAGGAAGAAAAATATCTCCTTCCTCTTTCTTTTAATTACTAATATATTTCAGGTTAAAATGGAACTTATTTGGTCAGCGAGCGACCTTTCAAGGACCTTTCGTGGCAATCGACATTGCATCCATCAAGCGACATATCAATATCGCTCTGGAATCGCAAACATTGCCTATTTGTAATAGTATTTTATTTTTCTTAAAGGTTCACTGATTTTTTCATAATCAATTTTGAAGACTCGATTTTATTGTTAATACTGCTGAGCGTAATTTCTTTGAGCCTGTGCGAATATTTATGCAGTAAGTATTGTCTTGTGTTTCAAAAATATATTTTTAAGTGAGATGTGCATGCATTTAACAAGAACTAAAATTTAAAGAAGGTATATGTAAAAAAATATTATAAAAAAATAATACATAAAAATAATTAATAATATGAATATCAAATCGTGCTAATTATAAACTCAAATAATTTTTACGAAAATTTCAATAAAAATATTGTTTCTATATTTTTTATCTATAAATATTTTATAATATATATATATTTTTTATAATATATATTTTTATATATATATATATTTTTTTTTATAATGAGTAGCATACTTTTCTTATAATGAATAATTCAATATACGAAATATACGAAATTGAATATACGAAATTCAATATATGTTAATCACAATCATGATATTATAGATTTCACGGAATGAATATATTAAATAAGAAATAAGAAAAAAATTTTATTATACTTGATGGCTACAATTTGTCGATTTTTCATACTTATTTGTAGCTAATTATGTCGACTAAAAAATTATAAATCATAGTAATCACATTTCACCACGTAAGAAACATACGTTGTTTCGAATTGTAAATATAAATATAAATATATATATGTAAATGTATATTTACTGTTATTTAATATCATTAAAGCATCACATACAGGAAATGATACTCTTTATTGTGCAAAGAGATAGTAAAATCTCGATCTAAAGATACGCAAGACACTCTTTATAAGATATTAGTATCTTATAAATAGTGACAGATATATCGATGTGTGACGTTTCCCTTCAAATTTGTCTACGAGCGTAAATATGAGAATGAAGCACATCGATAAACTGTGTCACTGGAAAAAGAGGGTAATCGCGCTTGCGTCGACTTCGATCGCTATTTCAATATTTTTCTGTGTAAAATTAAGCAACGCGACGCGAAGTACATAGAAAATGAATCCGACCAATGAGAGTCATTACATAATTAAATACCAAGTGATAAATTAAATAGCTTATAAATTAAATAGCTCCGGAAATTTACGTCAAAAATAAACTTTCGATTAAAATAAGATTTTAATAAAATAGGGTTTTAATCAATTCCGTATAACTTAAATAATACACTTTGATAACAGTTAAGTTTTATCACTTAACTATTGCACTGCTTAAAATTAAATAATCAAATTCATAATTTACTTTTCGATAATGTATACCTATTTTGTATTATGAAATATATACGTGATGAGAGAGATGTTTCTTGAAAAAAAATATAAGACCATCAAATAAATAATACTTTAAAATTAATTTTATATATGTATATATAGAATTACGCGAATATTTTTGAAAGAATACGATTGAATTCATTTCTCATCATAAGTGATGCATCATAAGAGATCTTGATATATAGATAAAAAAATATAGGTATAATATAAAACAATATAAAAGGATGCACGTTTTAATTAAAAGCATTAATTATTGAATCTCGCTTGTTAGAAAATATAGAAAACATTTATTTATGTTTCGGACAAGAGATTACGAATCATGGTAATCATATATATTATACCGCAAAAAAGTCATTTTTGTACTTTGTTAACAAATATGTTATGTAATGTACACACATATATTTATCATATTACTTTATAAATATAATGTTCGATGGTATAAGGCACCATTATATGTACAAAAAATGATACTTTATTTTGCAAAGAGGCAGTAAAACTTTTTATATAAATATTTCCGGAATATTTGTAATATCATTAAAGTGTTTTGCCGTGGTAAATCTTATCGTGCTAAACAATATGTTTAAAAGTTAATAAGTTTCAGTAAAATATAAAAAATGCACTTCATTATTACACAAAAGCATCAATATCTTATTTTATCATTTTATATTTTACGCAGCAATGATGCGAAAATTTTTTATATTTGAAAAAGTAAATAGTAACTTCAGTAATTTCGCATAAATTAAATAATACACTTCGATAACAGCGTTTAATTTTTTTAATGTTGCGCTGTTCAGAAAATTACTACTTAACTGTTAAGAAATCACAATTATTTTTTTATTTTCCGATAATGGATACTTGTTTTGTACTATGAAATATACACATCATGTGAGGATGCGTCTTGAAAAAATATGAGACAGATTAAAAGACATCTAATAATTCAAAATTGATTTCATAAATGTATAGAAATGTATAGAATTAACATATCTTTGAAAAAATAGAATCAATATTCATTCCAATTTTTGTTTCATCAATAGAAATAAATAATACAGCACGAGAGATATAATGAATAAAAATGTTGATATAATATAAAACAAACGTACATACATAAACGTACATACATACATACATGCATATTTGAATAAAAAACAACAGTTATTGAATCTCATTGCTACAAATATAGAAAGCTTTAAATTAAGGTGCAGGTAAAAGATATAAGGCACCTTATATCTTTTTAAGGCAATAGTTTCATAGCTTTGCTAAAACATATAGGCCTCAATTTTGTTCTTCTAGAATAATCTAGAAGACTAACTTCTTCCACGAGCACTCGCACAAGAATGAGACATATGGAACTGCGTTATTCCAAAAAAGAGCGACTGCGCTTGCGTCATCTTCGATCGAAAAAGTGCTTAAATATTTCTCTGTGTGAAATATTTATTTAATAAATTTCGTTGCATATTGACCGCACAATTGTCTTCTTTCATTGTTAAATTACACATATATTACTTCCGCAATATTTTGTGCAATTTTCTGTGAATTAGGTAATTTATGAAAATTCGTCCAAGAGCGATAACTTTATAAATATTTGATTTGGAGAAAGAAAAAAGGATAGATATGAATCTTTATCAACTTCTGCGCAGTCCAGCACGATTCTATGCTCGTACAATATGATTCACATCAAAACTCAACATTTTAGCCTCAATCGAATCCTCCTACTAGCAATCGGCTTATGGCCCTATCAGAAATCAAAATTCGTTCGGCTTCAGGTAATCGTAATTTATGGTATTCTGATAAGCTTTGTTATATTTCAGGTACGTACATATTTTTATTCGCACTATTATAGAATATGCTTTACATATATTGTTATCATTTATATCATACGCAATTTTTTTTGCAATTTTTAGATATGATAAAGTTATATTTAATTATTGATAATAGGATATATTATAATTGATGTAAATAATTATTAAAATTTTATTATGCTATTATATATTATATATTATTTTATATATTATGTGTATATATATATATATATATATATATATATATTACAAAATATGTAGATTATTATCTTAATCTGACAAAGAATGATGATATTTCTATTTTCAATAAATTGATTAAGTTTAAACAAATTGATAATAAGATTTTAGTTCACAGCTCTGATAACCACAAAATGTACTCTTGATTTTATTATTAAAATTATCTCTACTGCAATATTTTTTAGTTTTTACATAATTAAGTACAACATGTTCTGGATTAACATTCATCGTGTAAGTTAATCGTTTACCAACTTGTATAAATTAAGATTTTAATCACTAAATTTTTATATATAGCAATCTTCTCCAACTATTCCAAAACGTCAATTAAATATCAGTTATGTTGATAGGTGAAAAATATGTTGGAGCAACTACAGGATATCTGTGATAAGCTAAAAGATGAAAACGAAATTGCTATTATTTTAAAGTATGGAAATAACGCGAAACATTGTACAGCTATATTTACATGTAAGATAGCAATCCTTACCAATTAGTATACGTTATAAAATGTAGATCGTAATAAAAGTTAAATATCTACATTAATATGATTAATAATTTTGATTCTTACTTTATATTTATCTCATTAAATTTCTTAAAAAAAACGATAAAAATAAAAAATAAAAATCTTTTTCTTTTATGAAAATAAAATAATTCTTTTTTTTTAACTAATATTTTAGTAATAGCACGTAATAGTAGAAAATGAATAAAGACGTTTTTCAAGAAATTTATTTAGTTTTATTTTCTTTTTATTTCATTTTCTTTTCACCTTTTGCTCTTCCTTCATCAGAGGTTTTTGAGCAATAACTTCTTAAGGAAGCATTTTTCGACCCATGTTTATCGAAAATTTTTTGTTCAGAATTAAATTTCCTATAAGATCTCAAAGTCTGGCTGGAACGTTCGGAGCCATCCTATATATATATATATATATATATATATATATATATATATATATATGTGCGTGCGTGTGCGCGCGCGCGCGCGCGTGTGTGTGTGTGTGTGTGTATGCATACTCGATTTTTTAACTATCTTAAAACTTCTTATATTAAATATTATTCGAATTCGATTCATATAAAAGAATAAAATTAATTTCATTAAAAAAAATTAGATTAATCTTCACATGATCTACACCCAAAGACAAATTAATATCTCTTTCTTTTCCCTCTTTCAAATTAAAAAAAATTTTGTCTAAAATGTATTTCTGTATTCTTTATTGAGATATTCATTTCATTTAAGATATTTACCTGAGATAATTAAAATGGAGCACCCTATGTATATTTACCATTTAACAGAATAAATAAATTAAATGAAATATATATTTATCTTTACTTCTATTTAAATACATGTTTATTACATCAGAAAAAAATTATTAAAAAAATCATAAAAGGCATGATTGCATATGAAATATATATTTATTTATTCTTATTGTTAATTTTTATTATCGTAGATATTAGAAATACACAAAATTAAAAATCAGTGTAGAAAATAATTGGAGAACAGCAAAATTTAAATTATATATATATATATATATATATATATATATATGTATATATATTATTTTATATATATATACTATTATTTCTTTTAAATGTTTTTAGCGCTTGCTATATGCAGTACATTTATAGCTATTTTAATGCCTATTTGGCCACAAATTTGTGATACTGTTTCGCATATAAACGGATCTCGACAGAATCACACAATATATATCGTGACCGAATACTTTATCGATAAAAAAGAATATTTCTATTTAATTATATTGCATATAAATGCAGTTATGTGTATAGGAGCGACTACGATTATAGCGACGGGAACGACGCTCTTAGGATACATAATACACGTATGTGGAATGTTTAAAATTGCAAGGTAAACAAATAACAGCAAATAAATAAATTTAAAAACAGACGAAATATTTGTTTACTTTTTAACTTAATTTATCAATTTTGAGAGAACTTATTTACGGTAGACAAATTAATCACAGTTATCGTATAGAGCAAGCAATGGCGCCCAAAGTGCTCGAAAATATTAATGTGACGAATCGGACTATGATCTATAAAAAAATATTTTATGCCGTTGAAATCCACCGCAAGGCTATGAAGTTGGTATGAATTGATAGCAATTAAATAACATTTGTAATAATATTTTATTTTTCTTAAAGATTCGCCAATGCACTAATATCTAATTTTGAAGGCTCGTTCTTGTTGTTAATAATACTTAGTGTAATTTCTTTGAGCTTGAATATTTTTGCAGTAAGTATTATTTTTTTCCTGCTCTTTAAAAAAATTTCTAAGCGGAATAGGTATGATATCTACTAATAAAAAAATACTAATAAACGAAATTTAAATAATTTAAAAATATAACTATAATAAACTATATAACTTAAAAATATTATAAAACGTAAACTATAAAAATAATGAATCAGAAATATAAAAATAATAAATATTCATCTTTACTCATCCCCCTTAATAACTTTAATCTTGACATATCTTGTCACGGTCCTCAAATAACATTCAAAAAGTTTCAGTCATTCCTCGTTTATTAAATAATTATTTATATTAAATATTTATTAATACAATAAATTGAAGGAATTATAATCTTCTAATTGAATGAATTGTAAACTTCTAATATAAATAAAATATAATTATTTAAATAGGCACGTGTGACATTGATAATATATGTGAAGATCAAAGTCATTGATGGAGGATAAGGGAATAAAAATGAATATTTACCAATAATATGTATACAAAATTGTGAGACTTTAAAATATTTAATTTTATAAAATTTTAGAAAAATTTCAATATAAAAATTGTTCTTGTATTTTTTGTCTATAATATATATATATGTGCGTGTGTATGAACTTATAACGGAGCATACGAAATGTTAATCATAATCATAATTTAGGTGTTTCGGAATGCATTGCTTCGAAATAAGGAAGGATTTTTTTTACACCTGATAGCTATGAATATCATATTTTCGTTCTTATTAATAGGTAATTATGCCGGTCAAGAGGTTATAAATCACAGTAATCACATATATTTCACCGCGTAAGAAATAATTTTATGTGCTATGTTTGCAATTGTAAATATATTAATACACATATATGTGCATTTTTATATTACAAAATTTCAGGTACAATGTTCAATGGTATGTAGCACCGTTACGCGCACAAAAAATGATACTTTTTATTCTGCAAAGAGGCAATAAAACTTATTCTCTAAATATTGCTGGATTGTATGTACCATCATTAGAATGTTTCGCCATGGTAAGAATTATCATATGTCATATATTACAATATTTATAGCTTAAAATGTTTCACAGTGGAATATGAAAAACGTACTTCATTATTACAGCTAACAAAAGCATCAATATCTTATTTTACCGTACTACAATCTATGCAGCATTGATGTAAAGATACATTGTAACGGACCATAAAATCGACTGTAAAATAAATTTTCCGCGTTTGGAAAAATAAAATGTGATTTTAAGAAATTTTCCGTTAGAAATTAAATAAACACATTTCGACAACAGCGTTTAATTTCTTGAATGTTATGTTTAAAAAATTAAGAAATCACAAACACATAATTATCTATTTTCTGATAACAGATATCTGTTTTATGTTATGAAATTTACTAATGATATGAAATGTGTCTTCAAAAAATACAAAACAGATTGAATAACATCTAATAATTTAAAATTAATTCTACAAATGTATATAAAAGTAAGGTATATATATTTTTTTGAAAATATACACAATGATATATCAACTACTGTTCCATTAAGAGAAAGTGATACAGCACGAAAGATCTAATATACAAAAATATTGATATAATATAAAATAATATAAACACACACATACACACACACACACACATATATATACATATTTAAATAAGAACAACAACTATTGAGTTTCATTGCTACAAGTATAGAAAGCTCCGAATCAAAGTTTTCGGCATCTTATATTTTTCAGCGATAGTGTTTCATAACTTTACCAATACACAGGACGGATCGATTGTGCTCCTCTGGAAGGGCAACCTTCTTTCACAAGCGCATACATAAGACTGAGGGACTGAACCTGCGTTACTCAAAAACAGAGCGATTGCGCTTGCGCCGACTTCGATCGAAAAAGTACCTGATGAATGTTTTTCTATTTGAAACACTCATTTATTAAATTTCTCTCTACATGAAACTGATTACTTGTTCACCTCTTCTCGCAAAATTATTAAATTACAATGCATTGTTTCTACAATATTTTATGCAATTTTGCATTTAACCTGAATTTAAATAATTTATGGCAGAATTTATTCTAAAGAAATAGTAAGTTCAAAAATAATTTAGAGAAAAAAAAGAGGAAACGGGGGTGAATCTTTACCAATATTTTCGCAATTTAACACGTTCGCGAAGTATGATCTGCATCAAAACTCAATATTTTAGCCTCAACCGAATTCTTCTACTTGCAATCGGTTTATGGCCTTATCACAAATCAAAATTAGTTCGGCTTCAAGAAGTCATGTTCTTCGGTATTTTAACAAGTTTTGTTATATTCCAGGTATGTCGTAATCATATTCTTCGGTATTTTGATAAGCTTATTATATTCCGGGTACGGCTTTATTATGTGCCAGGTCTATACTTTTACTTGTATTATTAGAAATATGCAATACACACATTATTATTAATTACAAACGCTTATTTTTTTAGAACTTGTAAATGTCAAATTACGTTTAATTATTCAATAGAATTATAAAATAGAATACATTTGCAACTACAATAGATAATTAATAAAATTTTATTATGTTATTACATGTTATTATGTTATTACATTATTATATTTCGAATCAAATGATTGTCTGAAAATCGATCTGACAAATATGAAAAAAATGAATTGAAAAAAGGATTGTTCTTTACACAATATTTTCAATAAATTGATTGATTACAGTTCACAGTGTTGATAACCAGAAAGTGCACTCTTGATTTATTCATCAAAATTTTCTCGAATGCAATGTTTTTTAGTTTCTACATAATTATATATTACATGTTCTGGATTAATACGCATCATGTAAGTTAATTGTTTATGAAAGTATAAATGAATAATTCTAATAATAATTTTTATTAATTAAATTTTTATATATGACACTCTTTTCTAATTTTTTTAAAAGAGTGTTAATATTGTTATAATGATAGGTAAGAAATTTGTTGGAACAAATACAGTATATCTGTGATGAGCTAAAAGACGAAAATGAAATTGCTATTATTCTAAAGTATGGAAATTTTGCGAAACGTTGTACGGCTATTCTTACATGTATGATAACATTTTTTGTCAACTATGTCTAAGTATACGTGAAGTGGAGCAAAATCTAATAATAAAAATTCAATATTCAAAATAATATGATTAAAACTATCTTAATTCTTAATTTATATATATTGTATATATATATATATATATATATATATATATTTTATTACTTTCTCTCAAGAAGATATAATATTCTATTAAAATAAAAAACTTGTCTAATGAAAAGCATATTTATGCTACATATGTAAATATATTTTTATTGTACATATTTTTATTGTACATAAAATAACTTGTACATATAAAGAATATGTTTTATCTTGATCTTATCATTATTGATTGCTATTATTAATATTGCGAATGCACATAATTTTAGTCGATAAAAAATTAGCACAGAAAAATGAAGATCAGCGAAATTTCAATTATGTAGGCATTATGAATATCGTTTAGAATGCGAAAAAAATAATTTACATAAATTTTTTTTTGAAACGTTCATAGGGTATGCTGTATGCAGTACATGTATTGCTATTTTATTGCCTATTTGGCCACAAATATTTGGTAATGTTTTGCATATAAACGAGTCTCGACTACAGAGTCAGATAATATACATTGCAACCGAATACTTCATCGATAAGAAACAAAATTTCTATTTATCCTTACTGCATACGAGCGCAGTGTTTTGTATAGGCGCGGTTACGTTCACAGCAACAGGAACGATGCTCTTAGGATTCATCATACACGTCTGTGGAATATTTAGAATTGCAAGGTAAATAAAAATATGAATTTATGAATTTAGAAAAGGATATGAAATGTATAGGCTCGAATAGAATATATTTATTTATTTGGTTTTAACTTGTCAATTTTGAGAGAACTATGTATCTATGGACAAATTATTCGCAGTTACCGTATTGAACAAGCAATGACGACTAAAATACTTGAAAATATTAACCTGGAGACTATGATTATAATTTATAAAAAAATATTTTATGCCGTCGAAATCCATCGCAGTGCTATGAAGTTAGTATGCATGAAATAACAATTATATATGTAGTATTAGTAATATATTTTTTATTTTTCTTAAAGGTTTGTGAACGTACTCGTATCTAGCTTTGAAGGTTCGTTCTTGTTATTAATTGTATTGATCGTGACTACTTTGAGTGTAAATATTTTTGCGGTAAGTGTATTTTTTTTTAATTTACGCAGTTCAAACATATGAAAACAAATCTTAATATTCATGTATGTACCCAGAAAACCAATATGAAATGAAATGTTCATATGACCTTAATATAAATTTTCATGGGAAATATATATATAATCTGGATAAAAATCAAATTTAAAAATTCACAGATATAAGAAACATATAATCCTAAAAAATAATACAAAAAAATAATTAATATTATAAATATTAAATTTTATGATACTTATAAGATTATATATATATATATATATATATATATATATATATAAATACATATAATTTCAGAAAACAAAGAAATCCCAACATAAAAATAATTTTATATTTTTTGTTCATAATTTTTTTATAATTATGGCTAGAAAATAAATAATTATACATAAGAAATGTATTACTCATGATCCTGATTTTAGCTACATTATAACGCATCGCATGGGAATAAGGAAGCGTTCTTATTACACCTGATATTTGTATTTGTCATAGTTCTTGTCATGTTTTTAGCTAATTATGCCGGTCAACAAATTATCAATTATTGTAATCATATATATATCACTGCGTAAGAAAAAATTTTTTATGTTGTTCGAAAATGCGTGTATAATATTATATGAATATCACTTCTTCATTAGTAGTTTATCATTATTAAATTATCTTTATTATTTTATAGATATAATGTTCGATGGTATGAGGCACCATTACATGCACAGAAAATGATTCTCTTCATTTTATTACAAGGCAACAAAAGTTTCACTATAAATATCGCCGGAATGTTTGTAATTTCATTAGAATGTTTTGCAATGGTAAAAATTTTTTCATGTTATAAATCGTGATGTTGAAATGTCATGTTTTATAGTGCAATTTTCAAAGCGAATATTTTTTATTATTACAGTTAACAAAAGCATCAATGTCTTATTTCACCGTTTTACATACTACGCAGCAATGAAGCGAAGATAAATTATTTGATATTGACTGTAAAATATTTTTCACGTTTGTAAAAATAAGAAATGTAACTTTGATATATTTTGTAATAATATATAAGTAAATTGAATAATACCACAATGGCTTTGTTTTCTAATTAATAAATGATTTAAATAATTAAAAAGTCATAAATAAATTATTTATTTATTTTTCGACGGACATCTATTTCATTTTTCTGTTACGACAGATATACATATATCTCATGCAGTATGTTGTATATATAGAATGTTATATAATATAGAATAATATAAAAAAAGTATATATGTGTGTGTTTCAATAAGGACAACAATTAAAAAATGAGAGAGAGAGAGAGAGAGAGAGAGAGAGAGAGAGAGAGAAACTCGAGAATCTTTTGTTACAATTGTGGAAAGCTCTGACTCCAGGTTTACGGTATCTTATATTTTTGCCGATGATAATTTCATAACTTTGTAACAATACACATGGTGAATCGATTATGTTTCTCTGAAAGGGCAAACTTCTTTCACGAGCGTATGCACAAGAATGAGGCATGTGAAACTGCGTTACTCGAAGAAGGAGCGATTGCGCTTGCGCCAATATCGATCGAAAAAATACCTGTTGCCAAATAATTCGTAGTATAAGAAATGCTCAATTATTATATTTCTTTCCATGTGAAATTGTTCAGTTCCTTCTCACCAAATTTTTAAATTGCAAGTATTCCATTTTATAATATTTTGTGTTATTTCGTATTTATCTTAAATTATAGAATTTACTCTAAAAGAGATATAAGAGAATGTATAATTAAAGAGAGAAGAAGAAGGGATAAGTGAATGCTGATCAATTCTTCCGCATTTGAACACGTTCCTATACTCGCGCAGTATGATCTGCATCACAAGTCAACATTTTAGCCTCAATCGGATCCTGCTACTCGCAATCGGCTTATGGCCCTATCAAAAATCAAAATTAGTTTGGCTTCAAGAAATCTTATTTTTTTGTATTCTATTAAGCTTTGTTATATTCCAGGTACGTCTATATTTTTATTAATATATCATTACAAAATATATATTACATGTATTATTAATTATAGCAAATGTTTATTTGTTTGAAATTTTTCAATTTGATTAAATTATTCTAAATCACTGATTGTAGACTATATTGCAACTGCTGCAGATTGTTCTTAATATTCCATTATTATATAGAATGTTTCAATAAAAATGAATTCTTTTGGATATAAAACAGATAAAAATAATTCTAAGTTTCTATAAAAGCTTTTTCTACAACACTTTGCAATCTTTAGAATCATCATTTTATTTTCATCATTATATATTTTCTATCAGTCAAATATGTTTTCCTCGCAAACAACTAGTTTTGACGAAATGAAGCAAAAATATGCTTTTCTTTAAAAAAAAGATGTGGAAAAAAATCTAAAAACATATTTTAAAATAAAACAAACTTAGTCAAATATGTTCTTCTCATATGTTATTATAAAATAAATTATTATTTTTACTTTAATGAAATATAGAATAATATATCCTAATGGAATATTTTCGATAAATTATTTGATTAAAGCTCACAGCATTTATAACTACAAAATGTACTGTTGATTTAATTATTAAAGTTCTCTCTACTGCAATAGTCTTTAATTTCTATGTAATTATATACAACATGTTCTGGATTAACATTCATCATGTAAGTTAACTATTTATTGAGTCGTACAAATGAATAATTTTAATAATAATTCCTAAGAATTAAATATTTATATATGACAATATTTTCCATCTTTTTGGAAACAACATTAAATATTGTGGTTACGGTAGGTGAAAAATTTATTGGAACAACTACAGTATATCTGTAATAATTTAAAAGACAAAAACGAAATTGATACCATTCTAAAGTATGGAAATAACGCGAAACATTGTACAGCTATAATTACATGTAAGATAGTATTCCTTTACGACTATTATACGAAATGGTGCAGATTCTAATTATAATTAAAATTGTAATTAGAATATTATTAAAATATTGTAAGTAAAATATAGTAAATATAGTAAAATAAAATATTTAAATGAATCTAATCACATTTTAACTTATGTATATATATATATATATATATATATATATATATATATATATATATAATACCTATAATTATCAATTTTCCATCAAAAAATAAAAATTATAAATTTTACGTGGTTAAAGGTATGTTTATATATTCATGCGTACATTTCTCTACATATGTAAAATATGTATATTTGTTATTATCATATTAAAATATCACATTAAATTCTCTTTATAGAAATATTAAAGTAGGAAGATGATTGAAGAAAATCAAAATTTAAACTTTGCGCGCGCGCGCATGATTAACATAATTTCAAAATATAAAAATGTGCATTTTATAATCATTTTAAATGTTTCAGTAATCTCCATATGCAGTACATTTTTTGCTACATTATTGCCAATTTGGCCACAGATTTCTAATACTGTTTTAAACGTAAATGAGTCTCGCTTACAAAGTCATACAGTGTATATCGTAACTGAATATTTTATAGATAAAAAAAAATATTCTTATTTAATTCTACTGCATGCAAACGTAACGATATGTATAGGAGGGACAACGGTTATAGCGACGGGAACGATGATTTTAGCGTGCATCATATACGCTTGTGGAATGTTTAAAATTGCAAGGTAAATAAATAATAGATAAAAATAGATTTAGAAAAAGACATGAAATATTTGCTCGTTTTAATTTGTCAATACAATTTTGGGAAAATACATTTACAATAAATAAATTAATCACAGTTATCGTATGGAGCAAATAATGTCGACCAAAATGCTCGAAAATATTAACTTAACAAAGAATCAAACTATGATTTATAAAAAAATATATTATGCCGTCGAAATACATCGCAAAGCTATGAAGTTGGTATGCAACAAATAACAATTATAGTAACATTTATAATATTTTATTTTGTTAAAGGTTCACAAATACCATGCTATCTAATTTTGAAGGTTCGTTTATATTGATAATAACATTTAGTGTGATTTCGTTGAGCTTGAATATTTTTGCAGTAAGTATTTCTCTCGTATTCTTAGAATGTTTTTTCTTAGCAAAATATATATGACGTCTGATAATAATCAAATTTAAAAATTCATAAATAAGATAAAAATAAAAAGAAAAAATAAATATAATCACAAAATAAAACAAAGATTAATTGATATTGTGTAGCAAGTTATAATAATTCTAATTTTAATAGAAAACATAATTTTTTAGAAAACAAAAAAACTTCAATATAAAGATAATTTTACTGTATTCCTTGTCTACAATTTTTTCATAAATTGTCTATAATAAATATATAATTGTAATATATAATTGAATATATAATTGTCTATAATTTTTTATCGCACATATGAAATATATTAATCATAATTATGATTTTAGATCTTTCGTAATGTATCATTTGGGAATAAGGAAGCTGCTCTATTACATCTGTTAATTGTATTTCTCATATTTATATACATATTTATAGCTAATTATGCCGGACAAGAAATTACAAATCACAGTAATCATATATACTCCACTGCGTAAAAAACAATTTTATTACCTTTTTAATGTTGTTCACAAATGCGTATATATTATTATTATATGAACATAATTTTTTCGTTATGATAATTTATCATTATTTAACGTATTATTTCCTAGATACAATATTCGATGGTATAAAGCACCATCACGCATACAAAAGATAATACTCATTATTTTACAAAGGGGCAGTAAATCTTTCAATCTAAATATCGCTGGATTATTTGTGTTGTCAGTTGAATGTTTTGCTACGGTAAAAATCATCTATAAACTTAATATTTAAATGTTAGCATGTGTTTCACAGTGCAATAAAAGATGTTTGTCCTTCATTATTACAGTTAACGAAAACATCACTGTCTTATTTTACCGTTATTTATTCTACACAACAATCATACGAAGATACATCGTATAACCGGCCATAAGATGGGCCATAAAATATTTTTACATTTATAAGAATAAAAAATATGACTCTATGAATTTCGTATAAATTATATTTCGATCATATTTTGTTTTCCTAAAAATTCCACTGGTTAGATAATACTGATTAAAAAATACATATTTGTCAATAATTATGTTCTTTTTCTAATTAATACTTATTTTGTATTATTAAATGAGAGCATTATGCAAACGCATATAAACTATGCAGCAATAATATAATATTTTCTCATAGAAATCAGCCATAATATATTTTAGTTAGAAAGAATAAAATATGTGATTTCAATAAATTTCACATAAATTAAATAATACATCCCAAAAAAGAATTGATGAAAGAGTTTATTGATTGTTTCCTAACTCAAATAAATAAAAAATTAAATTCATAATTATTTATTTGCGATAATAGATATCTAATTTTTTTAATTGATAGATACTTATACACTAAGTCGTTTATGACTTGAAAAAGAAAAATAAAACATATGACATCTAATATTCTAAAATCAATTTTGCAAATGCATGCAGAATTAATATGTTATTTATGAACAATATTATTTATGAACAAATATGGTAATATGAATTATTACTTCAACAGTTAATGAGTGATATAGCATGAAGGATTATGCATAAATATATAAAAATATAAAATAATATGCTCGTTTTAATTAAGAGCAACGATTATTGAGTCTCATTTATTACAAATGTAGAAAACTCTGAATCAGTACTTTACATTTCTGCGGGCGTTTTACAGCTAGTTTTACAGCTTCGCCAACACGTACATACATAAGGCAGTTCGATTATATTCCTCTAGGACGACCTTCTTCCACGAGCGCACGCACAAGAATGAGGCATGTGGAACTGCGTTTCTTGACAAAGGAGCGATTGCGCTTGCGCCGACTTCGATCGAAAAGGTACCGGATTAATGTTTTTTCGTGTAAAACACTCATATATTAAATTTCATTTCTCATTCATGAAGTGAAGTTCATTACTTAATAGTCTCATCTCACAAAATTATTAAATTAGAAATGTTTCTATAACATATTGTGCAATCTTGCATTTATCCTGAATTAGATAATTTATAATACAATTTACACACACACAATTATTCTCTCTAAAAAAAGAGATAAATTCAAGAATATCTAATTTGGGAATGAAAAAAGAGGGTAAGCTTTATTAACTTTCTCGCAGATCAACATTTCTGTTTGCACAGTATGATCTGCATCGAAACACAACATTTTCACTTGAATCGTATCCTTCTACTCGCAATCGGTTTATGGCCCTATCAAAAATCAAAATTTGTTCAGCTTCAGGTAATCTTGAATTTTGGTATTTTGACAAGTTTTGTTATATTTCAGGTACGTGCATATTTTTATCTTCGATTATTATGAAAAATATGCATATTATTATTTATTTACATTATTATTTATAGTAAACTCTCACACTTTTCCAATTTTTAAATATGATCAAATTATATTTAAATTAATAATAGAATATAATTATTGAAGTTTTATTCCCATACAACATAGAATAGAATATTGCAGCTATATTGCTACAATATTGCAATATTGCAAATTGCAATGCAACATTATGGAAACATTGTAGACATGTAAATTAAAATAAAATACTTGTTAGATACTACAATGTAACATATTAATATTTTGGAAATAAACCATAACTCTTTAATCTTATAAATAACTCTTTATCTGTAAATAACTCTTTATTTACAAAAATAGAATGATGTAATAATTTGTTAAATTTTTGTATATGCGATGATTTTTAAATTCTTTACAGGTAAAATTAAATCAAGTAATGATAAAGATAATATTCGTTGAGTTAATATAATTCTAAAAATAAGCATTATTATTTTCTTATATTAAAAAATAGAAAATATTATATATATTAACGTTACACATATTTTATAATGTATTTTCTATACAACTTATGTATATAAATATTGATATTAATGGATCTCTAAAAATATATTTTATAAAAATTTCATGAAAGATTCATATGATAAGCAATAAAAAAAAATATGTAAGGCTGATAACTAAATGTAGAAGTCATTACGTAAGTTTGCATTTAATAAATTACTTACAAAAAAATTAATTACAAAGTTCGCAAAAAGATACAAACTTTTATTAAAGCTTTATTATTTCATATGTGTTTTTTTAATTCCAAGATATTCATCTCTCAGAAATATTCTTTATCTAATATATAATTGGATTTATTCAAATATATTATATTGCAATGTTGCTATGATATTTTAGTACAATATTACAAAAAAACAGATGTCTTAACGGTGCCACAATCTTACAATAATGACTCAGTAGTGTTTTGCAACTAATTTGCAATATTGCAATGTTTCAATGAATTTATTCTGCAATATGTCTACAACTTTTTCGTGTTAATGGTTACTTTGTTAGATATTATTATATAACAGAATATTATTGTACATATTATAAAGCAGATTATTGTTTTAATTTGACAAAAACTTTGAGTAAAAAAACATGATTATCTTATGCAATATTTTCAACAAATTGATTGTAGTTTACAGCGCTGATAACCACAAAATGTACTCTTAGTTTTATCATTAAAATTTTCTCTACCACAATATTCTTTAGTTTTTACGTGATTTTCTACAACATGTTCTGGATTAATACTCATAATGTAAGTTAATTATTTATCGACTGGTGTACAAGTGAATAATTTTAATAATAATTTCTAAGAATTTTTTAAATATTTATATATGACACAATATTTTTCATCTTTTCCAAAACAGCATTAAATATTGTTGTTACGGTAGGTGAGAAATTTATTGGACCAACTACAGTATATCTGTAATGATTTAAAAGATGGAAACGAAATTAATATTATTCTAAAGTATGGAAATAATGCGAAACGTTATACAGCTATATTTACATGTAAGATAGCATTCCTTGCCAATCAGTATATGTTATGAAATGTAGCAAATCGTAATAAAAATTAAATATCTAAAATAGTATAATTAACCATTGTTACGTCCAGCCGATTCCATGATTCTTTTCTTTTCGGAAAAATGCGGCAACAAAAATAAAAAAAGAATATCATTGATCATAGAGTCTCTCGCGCTCGATAATCAATCAATATTCATTGTCTGATCTACGGATAATCATAAGAAAATCACTTTAACAAATTTCGAAATTTATCAAGGAAGAAATTGATGACAAACCTAATAAAATGCCTAAATAAATGCTAAGAAATCGATGACAAATTTAATCAACAAATATTTAAAATATAGAAAATTCACAAATATCTAAATATCTAAAATATCTAAAATAGAAAAAGAAACGACAAATCTAATCATCAAATGCTTAAACAAATTCTAGTAAGAAATTGGTAATGAATTTAGTTCAGGAAATTTAATAACAAACGGACTGAATAAATAACACATTTTGCTAATAAAGAATAAAGAATCTAAAATGTAATCAAAGTACAAAATACATTCTAGAAAAGTTATCTAAATTTATTAAAGAAGGAAAGCTCGTAAAGAACAGACGTCAAGATCAATCAGTTCAGTCAATCACAGTTCAATTCAATTCGTCAGTCATTTTGTCTTCAATCTTCAGCTATCCATTCTCAATTTTAATGATGCAGCCATACATTTTCGATGATCAAATAAATGTTTTAAAGATCCTATCATTCTCACTGCAATAGCAGCGATCTATTCTTGTAGTATTAAAAATTGAATTTTGTTTTTTTAAATAACTTACACACACACACACACACGCACGCGAATGATCTCCGCATTTATGTAACACCCGAGATAAAATACATACAGTATCGTTCGTTATTATGTTCAATTTAATTTTGTTTATACGATTATTTTAGTCTTTTAATTTAAAAATCAAATTTCATGAATAAATCTAAGATTTTCTTTTATATAATCTGTATTCATTACTCGCTTTCTTAGTTAAAAGATCGCACTAGGTCCCATATAAAAGAGATTAGATTCTCTAATCAAAAAAAACCTCAAATTAACGTCCGAGTTAAAACAACATAGTAACAGACTGAATCAGTTTACCTGTTTTCCGGTCTTATGTTTAGTTCGACCTGAATCGCCCTCCGTTTATCACGTGACTTCGAGACTGTATGTTACGCCCTTTCTTCGATCCATCCCTTTTCGGTCTGGACGTAATACCTCCCATTTTTAGCTTATAAATATATATCTATCGCTTCTTCCCCAAAATAAAAAAACTTGCGTGGTATAAAACATATATATACGTACATTTCTACAATATGTTTATATAATATGTTTACCCTTATAATTGTTTTAATATCATATTGAAAATATATAAAATTTTACAGTCAAAAAGAAAATTGAAGAATGACTGAAGAACAACATTTTTTAAAATTATTCACACATTATAGTATATATTTTCGAACGTAAAAAGAAAGCAACTTGTATAATTACTTTTTTTATGTGTTCTTAGCGTTCGCCACATGTATTGCATTTATTGCTACTTTAATGCCTATTTGGCCACAAATTCTTGGTACTGTTTTGTACATAAATGAATCTCAACTACAGATTAATACAATACAAATTACTACTGAATATTTTATCGATAAAAAAAAATATTTCTATTTAATTTTACTCCATACGAACGTAGTTATTTGTATAGGATCGACTACGGTTACAGGGATAGCAACGATAATTTTAAGCTGGTTCATACATATCTGTGGAATATTTAGAATTGCAAGGTAAATAATAAAATTATATAAATGACACGGAAAAATATGTGACAGTGAGAACAAAATTTTTATTTCCTTGTTTTAATTTATAAATCTTGGGAGAATTGCATATTTACAACAAACAAAATCATCATAGTTATCGTATGGAGCAAGCAATAACGCCAAAAATGCTCGAAAACATTAATATGAAGGATCAGAATATGATTCGTAAAAAAATATTTTATGCAGTCGAAATCCACCGCAAGGCTATGAGGTTGATATATATATATATATATATATATATATATATATATATAAAATAACAATTAGGTAGCACTTTAATAGTTTTATTTTCTTAAAGGTTTATCGATGTATTATTATCTAATTTTGAAGGCTCGTTTTTTTTGTTAATAATGCTTAGTGTGATTTCTTTGAGCTTGAATATTTTCGCAGTAAGTACTTTTCTTTTCATATTATTAATATACATACATATATACATATATATATATATATATATATACTCCTAAGTTAAATATATAACATATATATATATACACATATGTAACATCTGAAATAAATTTTAAAAATTCATAAACAAAAAAGTATAATCAAAACATGATATATTATTTAATAAATAATAGAAATATGAAATCATATAAATTATAATTATAAATTATACATTTATGTGATAATTATATAATTCTCAAATCACAAAATTTTAGAAAAAAGGAAAATAAAGATTGTTTGAATATAAAGGTAGCTTTATTGTATTTTTTGTTTATAATTTATTTATGGCAGAGTTATGATTGTAATTGTCACACATATAAAATATGTTAATCATAAACACGAATTTAGATTTTTTATAACGCATCGCTTGGAAATAAGGAAGCCTTTCTATTACATCTATTAATTGTAATTATTATACTATTAGTTATGTTTCTTGCTAATTATACCGGACAAGAAATTACAAATTACAGTAATCATATATACTCGACTGCGTAAGAAACAATGTTATATGTTGTTTAATTGCAAATATATTACCATATATACACACACATCTTCATTAATTAATAGTTCATCATTATTTATCATATCATTTTCTAGGTACAATATACGATGGTATAAGGCACCATCTTATGTACAGAAGATGATACTCTTTATTTTGCAGAGAGGCAATAAAACTTTCAACATAAATATCACCGGACTGTTTGTATTATCAATAGAGTGCTTCGCCATGGTAAAAATTATCATAAGCTATAATATTTAAAAGTTTTACAGTGCTATATAAGAGATATATGTCCATCATTATTACAGTTAATAAAAGCATCGATGTCTTATTTTACCGTTATGTATTCTACGCAACAATCAAATGAAGATATATCGTATAACAGATCATAAAATCCATAAAATACTTTTTATGTTTGTAAGGGTAAAAAATATGTAGCTTTAATATAAATTTTGCATATTAAAATATAAATATTGCATATTAATGATATCAATTTTTGCTGCATTTATAATTATATCAATAGCAATATATTACGAGAGACTACTTTATTATATAAAACTACCACTATATTATATAAAAATGTAGATATAAAATAATAAAAAAGCATGTACACGTTTTATTTAAGAACAACCTTTATTGAGTCTCACGTGTATCAAAATGTAGAAAGCTCTGAATCAAAGTTCACGGAACTTTATATTTTTGCCGGAGATAACTTTGTAACTTCACCAACACGTAAAGCAGATCAATCGTGTCCCTCCAGAAGAACAAACTTCTTCCACAAGTGCACGCATAAGAATGAGGCATTCGATACTGCGTTACTCGAAAAAAGAGCGAATGCGCTTGCGCCGATTTCGATCACAGAGATACCTATTTTTCTACGTATGTATGTGAAATACTCATTTATAAAATTTCTTTATATGTGAAATTGATCGTTTAAATTCTTCTTCTCATGAAATTGTTATTCTATAAATGCTTTTGACAAAATTTTGCACAATTTCATATTTATTACGAATTAGATAATTTATGACAGAATTATCTTTAAGGATAAAGTCGAGAATATTTCAATAATTTGAAGAAGAGAGGATAAAAACGTAACTTTATCAATTCTTCCGCAATTTAATTACGTTCAGTCATTCAGCACGTTCCTATACTCGCACAGTATGGTTTGCATCAAAACTCATTTTAATCTCAATCGGAAACTCTTACTCGCAATCGGTTTGTGGCCTTATCAAAAATCAAAATTTGTTCTATTTCAAGGAATCTTATTTTTCGGTATTCTGTTAAGCTTTGTTATATTTCAGGTACGTTTACATTTTTATTCTCATTATTATGAAATATGTATATATATATATATATATATATATATATATATATATATTTACGAATGATACCAACCGCTCACTTTTATGCGATTTTTAAATATATTAACAAATATGAAAATATTAAATTATGCTTAATAATTGATACTAAAAGATAATCGATAGATAATAGAGATTTACATCAGAATTTAATTACAGATTAATTATTAAAAATTCAATACGTTATTATATACTATAAAATAGATTATTATAATATTATCTCGTTATAAATAAAATGTAGAATAATATTCTTCTAATGCAATATTTTTAATAAATAAAATAGATTATTGTGTTAATATTATCTCGTTAAGTAAAATGTAGAATAATATTCTTCTAATGCAATATTTTTAATAAATTGACTAATTCAAGCTCACGGCACTTATAACCACAAAATGTACTTCTGACTTTATCATCAAAGTTTTTTCTACTACAGTAATCTTTAATTTCTACGTAATTAAATACAGTATGTTTTGGATTAACGCTCACAATGTAAGAAAATGTTTTTTTACTTGTACATATGAATAATTTTAAAATTAAATTCTAATAATTAAATATTTATAACAATCTTTTTCAACGTTTCCAACGTCAAATATTGTTGCGATGATAGCTGAGATATATGTTGGAACAATTACAGTATATTTGTAATGAACTAAAAGATGAAAACGAAATTGCCATCATTATAAATTATGGAAATAACGCTAAACGTTATACAGCTATATTTATATGTAAGACAGCATTTTTTTCTTGCAACTATTTTATCATAAAATTCAATAGATTCCTATTATAATAAAAGTTAAATATTTATAAATTAATCTTTCTTTATATATATATACTCCTGAACAAAAATAATTTTTTTTCACTTTTTCTTTAAAAGCTGATATTTAAATTTTGACGAAAAATTTTAAAGAAAAAGTGAAAAAAAATTATGCGTTAATTTTATCCAGGAGTATATATATATATATATATATATATATATATATATATATATAATCTTTAGTGGGAAGTGGTATATGTATAATCTTAGTGGGGAGCAAATGATGAGTGTACATATAAATAACAAGTTTATTTGTGATCATACTAAATTTATTATTATTTTAATTAATTATTTTATTTTTATTATTATTATTTTATTATTTAATTTAATATTTATTATTATTATATTCAAAATGTACAAAATAGTATAGTCAATATTCTACGAAAATATTAGAGTTAAATTCGATAAGCGTGATTGAAGAACCACAAAATTTGAATTATGCATATATAACACATTTCTAAATATAACAGAAAGTAATTTTTATAATTATTTTATATGTTTTCAGTGGTCAATATATTCTGTACAGTTATTGCTATATCAATGCCAATTTGGCCACACATTCTCGGTATCTTGCACATAAATGAATCTCAACTAGAGATTCGGAAAATAGAAATCGTGACTGAATATTTTGTCGATAAAAAAAAATATTTCTATTTAATTTTATTCCACACGAATGCAGTTTTTTGTATAGGAGGAATTACGATTACAGCGACGGGCACCTTGCTCTTAGGATACATGATACACATCTGTGGATTGTTTCAAATTGCAACGTAAATAGTGAATTATGAAATATACATCTACGAGCAATATTTTTATTTCTTTAATTGTTTTAATTTATCAATACACATATTTTTGGAAAAACTATAATATATATTTACAACAGACAAATTAATTACAGTTATCGTATGGAACAAGCAATATCGACCAAAATGTTCGAAAATATTAATATAAAGAGTCAGACTCTGATTAAAGAAAAAATATTTTATGCCGTCGAAATCCATCGCAGAACTATGAAGTTAGTATGCATAAGATAACAATTATATATAGCTTTTGCAATAATATTTTATTTTTCTTAAAGGAGCATCGACTTTATGTCATCTAGTTTTAAAGGTTCATATTTGTTATTAGCATTCTTTGGTATAGTTTCCTTGAGCTTGAATATATTTGCAGTAAGTGTTTTTAAATTTTTGAAACATATTTCTCAACGGAATATGTATGACATCTAATGATATCAAAGAAGAAGTGTCAATAAGGAAATCGGCTTCAATAATTTTTGTATTGTTTTTGTTATAAATTCATATATATTACTAAGAACATTAATAATAAATGTAACATGCGTAAATGAATATTATTAATAAATATAAAAGCTTTATTGAAATATTTCCTTTATTTATCAACCAATGACGTGGTAATGATGATCTTTTAAACAATGATAGTAAGTTATGAATCTAATAAAATAGAATTAAATGGTAATTATCAAAAGTGTTATTGAAATAAAAAAGTAAATGTATATGTGTGTGTGTGTGTGTGTGTGTGTGTGTGTGTGTGTGTGTGTGTGTGTGTGTGTGTACTATTATTTTTATTTCAGTAACACTTTTGAATTACCATTTAATTCTAATTTATTAGATTAAACTTTAATTCTATTTTATTAATATATACAGAGTGTCAGGGCAATCTCTTCCCAAATAAAAGCTCTTGTAGCTTACCTCGAGAGCTTTTCAAAACACTCTAATAAAGTATTTTTTCATTAAGTACTTTTCGAGTTATAAGGCTTGAAATAATCTCTTAATTTTACATAAACCATAAAATATATCTAGTAAAATATTCATTTTTCGATCTTATCTTAATACTTTTATGTATGTACAAAATATAATGAGAGGAATCAATTGGTCTAAAGAAAACACATAATTGTTTCGAAGAAAAAATATGTAATTTGCAATTAACAATTATATATTTTTTATAGCATAATTATAATAAAGAATTCTACATACGAAATATATTCATAATCACGATTTTAGATCTTTCGTAATGCAACACTTGAAAAGAAAGAAACATTTATTTTACATCTTATATTTGTATTTGGCACCCTCTTATATATGTTTATATTTAATTATTGCGGAGAAGAAATTACTAATTATAATGATCATATATACTCTGCCGTGTAAGAAACAACTTTATGTTTGTAATTATATATATATTGTTATTCGATATATATTTTGTAATTCCATACATGTATATACATATGAGTTTCATTACTAATTCATCATTATATTACTTCATAGATATAATTCTCAATGGTATATGGCACCATTACATGTACAGAAAATGATACTATTTATTTTGCAAAAAAGCAGCAAAACTTTCAACTGCACTATCGCCGGATTATTGGTAATATCAATGAAACTTTTTGCCACGGTAAGAGAATTATGTGTGTCAGAAATTGCGATATTTATAGTTAACATGTTTCATAACTTAATGTGTTTCATAATGCAATATAAAAAACGTATATCGTCATTGTAGTTAACAAAAACATCGATGTCTTATGTCACCGTTATATATAGTACGCAGCAATGATACGAAGATATATTATCTTATAGAAATCAGCCATAATATATTTTAGTCAAACAAAGTAAAATATGTGATTTTAATAAATTCTGCATAAATTATATAATACAATAAAGAAGATTAATTTCCTTTGTTTTTTAATCATTTAAATAAATAAGAAATCAAAGTAATAATTATTTAATTGCGATAATAAATAAGTACTTAATTTTTCTATTATGAGAGATATACATATATTTATGTTATTTATGATTTAAAAAACTACTTGAAAACAAAACGACATCTAATATTTTAAAGTTAATTTTACAAATGTATGCAAAATTAAAGTGCACATTTATGAACGAATACGATAACATCAATTTTTGCTTCACCAATAATCAATACATGACGAAAAATAATGCATAAAAATGTAGATATCAAATATAAATATAATATGAGAAAATATAAAAATGGGCATGTTTCAATTAAAAGCTACAATTATTGAATCTCTAATAACTCTGAACTATTGAATTTCCTCTTAAGTAGAAAACTTTGAATTAAATCCCATAGTACCTTATATTTTTGCCAGCAATAATTTTATAGTTTTGCCAACACACGTAAGGCCGCTCGATCTTCTAAGGACGACCTTCTTCTATGAACGCACGCATAAGAATGAGACACATGACATTAAGTTACTCGAAAATGAAGTGAATGCGCTTGCGCCGACTTCGATCAAAAAGGTACATATTTCTCTACGTGAACTATTCATTTATTAAATTTCCTCACATGTGAAATTGATCACTTAATCGACTAATCTCACAAAATTGTTATATTAAAAGTGCTTTCGACAATATTTTGTGCAATTTTATATATATATATATTCTCAATTAGATAATTTATGACAGAATTTACTTTAAAAGAATAAATTGGCAAGTTTGAAAATATTTGTGTGGAGATGGAAGAAGAGAAGATAAAAGTGAATCCTCATCAATTTTTTCGCTTTATTTAACCGTTCCTATGCTCGCACAATATGATCTGCATCAGAACTCAACATTTTAATTTAAATCGGATCCTCCTACTTGCAGTTGGCCTATGGCCTTATCAAAAATCAAAATTCGTTCGGTTTCAGGGAATTTTGTTCTTCGGTATTCTGTCGAGCTTTATTATATTCCAGGTATGTCCATATTTTTATTCGTATTAATAAAAAATGTATTGCACATATATTATTATTAATTATAGAAAACGCCCACACTTTTGTGCCACATATGTGCGGTACATTCAAATAATTTTGAATATGATCAAATTATGTTTGATAATAGATGATAATAGATGATTATTGATAATAGATGATATATTGGCAATTGCTAAATAAATAATTACTAAAATTTTCCATTATTTTATTATATATTATTACAAAAATTATTGTTTTAATCTGTATATTTTCTATTGTTTTAATTTATTATTTTAATCATAGAATATTATTTTAATCTTATAGTAAAATGTAACATGCGCGCGCGCGTATGTGTGTGTATATGTAAGTTTGATATCTCCTTAATATAATATTTTCAATAAATTAATTGATTAAAGCTTACAGCACTTATAAAAAAAGATTGCACTAGTGAGTTTGTGATAAAAGTTTTTTCTATTACAATGATTTTCAATATCTATGCAATCAAATACAACATGTTTTGGATTAACACTCATAATGTAAGTTAATGTTTATCTACTTGTATGTATAAATAATTCTAATATTAAATCCTATTAATTAAATATTTATATATAACGATCTTTTCCAAAATAACGTTAAATATGTCGTCATGGTAGCTAAGAAATTTGTTGGAGCAATTACAATATATCTGTAATGAATTAAAAGACGAAAATGAAATTGCTATCCTTATAAAATATGGAAATAACACGAAACGTTATACAGCTATATTTACATGTAAGATAACATTGCCGACTATTATACATCATGAAGTTATGCTTAATTGTGATAAAAATTAAATATTTAAATTATTTCGATTTCTATTTTGACTCGCAGCTTAAATATACAGGATGTCTTATTTTATTTTTTGACAGTCAAATATCTGTGAATCATGAAATTTTAGAAAGAAATATTTTAAATGAAAGTTATATGATTTCAAGAGGGACATAATATCGCGATTTTGAATTGTCTTTGAATGGGTTTTTAATTAAATATATTTTAAAAGTTATATATAATCTTAATTTTTAAAATAGAAAGGAGCATTTTATTGCAGAATCAAAAAATATTTTTATGTAAAACGTTTCTAAAGTTTAAGCGTTAATTTTATGTAAAAAGATACTAGAATATTTTTAGTGTACATTTGTAAAGATAATTTATGAAAAAGAAAAAGGTTTTCTATTGAATAAAGTATATATAAAATGTGTACATGCATCGTTTCTTATCAGAAAATTAAATTAGGTCACGAGGTTAACAGTGTTATTGTGGAATATTTTTCAAACTAAAAATTTATACTGCATACCAGAGAAGTTTTGGAATCTTAAAATACTATATAACAAATTATGAATTTATAGATGTAAAAACTCCCACGTTTCTGTTTATGATCCTAGGTCCTAGTTTTGCCTGAGAGAGAAGCAACACGCGTATACATCATATATACTGTTCAATAAGGAAAAAGAGAGAAGCTTTTTCTTTTTTATAAATTATCTTTTTAAATGATGAGTTTATAAAAACATTTTTTTACGTAAAACTAAATGCTGTTTTCCGTTTAAAATAATAAAGTTGGCCTTCAAGTGGCTTTGAAAAATGTCATTTAAAGACAATTCAAGGTAATTATGCATAAAAAGGAAGGAAGAAGATATGACCTTGACAACATATGTCAATGACACATTTGTGCGAAGGTGGGTTCTTATGCATAATTACCCAATTCAAGAATGCGATGTTACATCCGCTTTGAAAACATTCCAATCTCTTTTCCGAAACATTTTATTCTAAAAACCCCATAATTTTCTCAAGACTCTTTGACTTTCAAAAAGAATAGGACATCCTGTATATGTATTTGTAATTTTTCTACCAGAATTTAAAAATTTCGAAACTTTAGAACAATTATAAAGCTTGTGTATAAAAAGCATACTTATTCTTCACATACTTATGTATATATTTCTACAATATATATTAATATATTTATTCTTTGTTTATATTGAAAAATATTACAATCAATATTCTACAAAAATAGAAGAGTAATTGAAGACTAATTGAATTAAAGTTTGAATTATACACGCGCATAAATATCACATTTTAAAATATAAAAAAGAACAATATTTATAATCATTTTAAATGTTTTCAGTGCTCACTATATGCTTGACATTGTCTACTGTAATATTATTAATTTGGCCACTGATCTTCGGTACTGTCTTACACATAAATGAATCTCAAGTAATAACAATGCTGACAGAATACGTAGTCGATCGAGAAAAGTATTTCTATTTAATTTTACTACATGTAAACATAGTTATTTGTATAGGATCGACTACGATTACAGCGACAGGATTGATGATTTTAGGATGCATCATACATATCTGTGGACTGTTTAAAATTGCAAGGTGAATAATAAATTAGAAAAGGACATGAAATATTTGGTCATTTTTATTTCTCAATATAATGTTGAGAGAACTAGATATTTATAGCAGACAAATTAATCACAGCTATCGTATGGAGCAAGCAATGACAACTAAAATGCTACAAAATATCAACCTGGAAAATCAAACCACGATTTGTAAAAAAATATTTTATGCTGTCGAAATCCATCGCAAGACTATGAAGTTGGTATGCATGTACAACAATTGTACAACATTATAATAATATTTTGTTTTTGTTAAAGATTCACCAATTTACTCTTCTCTAGTTTTGAAGGCTCATTCTTCTTATTAATAGCTTTTCTTGTTACTTCTTTGAGCCTAAATATGTTTGGAGTAAGTATTTCTTTTCGAATTTTCAAACATATTTCTACGAGATGATGTCTGATAATAATTAAATTTAAAAATTTAAGAAGAAATAAATGAAATATAATGAAAAATAATAATAAAATAATTGATAAGATAAATATCTGATAAAATGAGTAATTAATAAGATAAAACTATGTGTGTATATATGTTAATTATAAGTCATAAAATTTTAGAAAGCAGAGAATCTCAATCACGAAACCATAATTTTTCGTATTCCTTATTTATTTTTATTTATTTATTTTTTTAACATAATCATAAATCTAAAATGAGTTATTGTTATACGTACGAAATATATTAATCAGAGTTATATTTTTAGATCTTTCATAATGCATCGCTTGGAGATATGGAATCAGTTTTATTACATTTAATAATTGTATTAATCATGCTTTTATACATGTTTGTGGCTAATTATGCCGGGCAAGAAGTTATAAATTATAGTAATCATATATATTCTACCGCGTAAGAAACAATTTTATGTGTTGATCGCAATTGCATATACAGGATGAGTTTTATTGCTTGTTTGTGTATTGTCAATCTTTTTATCATGCGGAAGATTATCGACTGCATAATAAATTGATCGATACATATATGTTAATAATTTGGATCGATTATATCGAAGGTCAATTAAATTATTATGCAGTCGATAATCTCTCGCATGATAAAAAGATTGACACAAGCAATAAAATTCACCCTGTATATTAGTGTACATGTGTATGTACATACTTTCCTTATTAGTAGTTTATCATCTAGATTTTTTATTTCCTAGATACAATGTTCGATGGTACGAGGCACCATTAAATGTACAGAAGATGATACTCTTTATTTTGCAAAGGAGCAGGAAAAATTTCCACATAAAAATCGCCGGACTGTTTATAATTTCATTAGAATGTTTTGCTACGGTAAAAATTTTTTTATGACATAAACTGTGATATGTGTATCAAATGTTAACATATTTTATAATGCAATATGAGAGAATATATTTCATTATTACAGTTAATAAAAGCGTCGATGTCTTATTTCACCTTTATGTATTCTACGCAATAATGATGCAAAGGTCATTAGGCCAAAAAAACGACTGTAAAATATTTTCTATACTTTATGCAATAATGATGCAAAGATCAATAAACCATAAAACGATTATAAAACTGTACAATATTTTCCACGTAGAAAAGAATAGATAAAGTAACTTTACATTTATACGTTTCACATAAATTAAATTAAATAATATTTCAATAACAGAATTTTTTTATTATTATACTGTTTAAATTAAGAAATCATAACCAGGCAATTATTGCTACGGTAAAAATTTTATTTATTTATTTTCTGAAAATGGATATCTAATTTTTTTTCTATTATTAAATATATATATATATATATGTCATTTGATATGCAATATTTGAAAAAGTATGAGATAAAACGAGTGATGTCTACTACTTTAACTTCACAGTTATATATAGATTTGATATATATATTTTTGAATGAATATAAAACGATAATATCAATTTTTGTTTCATCAAAAGAAAGAAATTACGAAAAATTTAATGTATAAAAATGTAGGTATAACATAAAATAATATGAAAAATATATATGCATGTTTATTGAGTCTTGCTTATTACAAGTGTAGAAAGCAGAGACAATGTATCAAGATTCACGATACCTTTTATTTTTGTCAGCGATAGTTTTGTAGCTTTGTCAACACAAAAGATGGATCGATCGTGCTCCTACAGAAGGGCAAACTTCTTCCATGAGTGCACGCACAAGAATGAGGCATAAGGGACTGCGCTACTGGAAAAACAGAGCGATTGCGCTTGCGTTGACTTCGATCAAAAAACTACTCTGTGAGTGTTTGTCTGTGTGATAACACCTGTTGATTTTCTTTTGTTATAAAATCACTTGTTTCTCTATTTGTCTCTTGCCAATGCACATGTTAAAATATACATATGTTTCGATATATATTCTCGTAATAATATTTTATGTGGCATTTCATTTATACAAAATTAGACTATTTATGTTGAAATTTACGATGAAAATTATTGAATATTCAATCGAGCATTTAGAAAGAATAGATATGTATATCTGCCAATTTTGCATATCTTTCCAATCTTCCACTTCCGCATTTATAGATGTGTGTTTATGGGCGCAAAGAGATGATTCGTATCGAGACCCAATATTTTAGATTAAATCGAATTCTTTTACTTGCAGTTGGTTTATGGCCCTATCAACGTTCAAAACTCGTTCAATTTCAGGCAACTTTGCTTTTTGGTATCCTGATAAGCTTCATCATATTGCAGGTATTAATATTATGTTATTATTGAGTATAATAAATCTCATTATATATTTAATTTAATTTAATTTAATTTAAATTTAATATTGCATACGATTATAATTATAAAATTATAAAATTTTTTTTATTATTATTGATTTATTATTTGGATCAATCATACGTAGATTTATATTTTAAATTTTTTTATCCTTAAAAAGATAAAAATTTTTTTGTCATTATATAAATTTTAATATAGTTAAGTTTCTTTATAGAAAAATAATTTATTATATATATTTATTATATATATATATATATATATATATATATATATTATGTTTTATAATTTACAATCTGCAATTGTAAACAAGTGACTTCTACAATACTTTTACATAATTTTTTAAATAAATTTATTGATTATAGTTTACAGTATTTTTCACTACAAAATGCACACCAGATCTTGTCATCAGAATTTTATCTTTTATATTATTTTTTATTGCGTTTATGATTAAATACAATTCATTTTGGATCAATACTAAAACTGTAAGTAAACTTTATTAAATTCATCTTTAAAATTATTATCTATTATTCTATCTATTTTAAAATTATTATCTATTATTCTATCTATTTTAAAATTATTATCTATTATTCTATCTATTATTCTTTAAATAAATATTTAATTAGAAATAACATATTTTTTTCAATTTATAACAAGAAGTAATTTAAAATATTTTTTGATATAAAAGGTGAAATGTTTATTGGAGCAGCTTCAACAAATCTATAATGAATTGAAAGATGAAAATGAAATGGTCATTATAAAGAAATACGGATACAATGCAAAATGTTATACGATTAGAATTATACGTAAGATAAAATTTATTAATTTATATTATTTACATTTTCAAATAAAACAGATTAAAATTGCAGATTATAGTGATAAAATAATTAAGAAATTTAAACTGTACAACACAAATCGATATTCAAAATAAATTTACAGATTATTAATTTAGATGATTACTTTCTTAAAATAATCCTTACTTATCTTGTGATTCGTTTTCTTTGCAATTCCTCATATCTTCTCGATTATGCCTAAATATATTAATTACTAATTATGCCTAAACATGTAACAAATCGATATTTCAGAAAATTATAATAACGATTTATATGATTACTTTTTTTTAAATGCTTAGTAATTACAGTGTGCAGTGTATTCGTTATTTCTTTCCTGTCAATTTGGCCGCGTCTTCTCGATATCATTGTGCCCATGAACGAATCCCGACCACATTATGAAATAGAATTCATTGCTGAATATTTTCCCGATCAAGAAAAATATTATTACGTAATTATACTACACATGAATGCAGCCATTTGCATAGGAGGAATCGCATTTATAGCAACAGGAACAATGCTCATTGCATATCTCAAACATGCTTGTGGAATGTTTAAAATCGCCAGGTAAGGACATGTAAAAATATAGATAAAAGACAAGTGTATATTTGATAAACAAAAACTCATTTGTCTTTTTTCAAATATATTAAAAAAATAATATAAACAATTGTAACATAAGTATTATTTATAGCTATCGTATTGACCAGGCAATAGCGATCAACTTTTTACAAAATATCGAGAAGAATGAAATTATAACTTATAAAAAAATAACTTATGCAGTAGATATCCATCGAAAAGCTATGAAGTATTTATATGTATATAATATAACACAACACACACAATAAAAAAAGTGATATATAATCAAAAATGATATATAATAAGAAGATAAAGATTTTTTTCGATCTTTATTCAAGTCGTTCTCCAAAAATCAGCAATTAATTAAAAATAGAATTAGTTGCAAATCTTTCATCCAGAAGAAAATAAATCCTGAATAAAAATTGAAAATAATTGTGCTTGAACATATATATAATTAATAGGCTTGCGTATTTTCAATTAAACAATGATTGTAACTGAAAATGTGTCTACAACTATTATAGAATATTACAAAGCTTTTATCACCTATCGATAAAATAATAATATTTTTGCTTTTCAAGATTTGCCGAATATTTGATATCCAATTTTGAGGGATCATTCTTCGTTTTAATAGCAGTGACTGTCTGTTGCCTGAGTCTGAATCTTTTTCAAGTGTGTATTATAATATGTTTATACTTCTAGATAAATAAAATAATAATATAACATTGAAATATGAATAATATAATATTTTATATGATATTAAATTTAATGCATATATAATGATAGTTGAAGATATAATACATACGAATTCATGAAACATTAATATTAGTCATGCTATTTTAGATCTATCGAGCTGTATTGCTTCAAGATAACGAAAAAGAATTTTTACTACACTTTTTGATAGTATTTATTATACTTCTATACATGTTTTTAGCCAATTATGCCGGGCAAGAAATTATAGATCATAATAATCATATATACAGCACTGCGTAAGAAGCTTCATATATTGTTCACAAATTGTATTTCTCAATTATCTCTAGCAATAAAAAATAGAGCTTTGGTATATTTATATCAATATATTTTTATTTCTAGAGATTATTTCCTAGGAAACATATATATCTAAAATTATTATTAACACATTTTTTATTTATCATCTAAAATCGTTTGTTCATAGATATAATATTCATTGGTATGTCATGCCGTTACACGTACAAAAATTGATATTATTTTTATTGCAAAGAAGTAGCAAATCTTTCAGTCTAAATATCGGTGGATTGTTTGTAGCATCCTTACAATGTTTTGCCTCGGTAAAAATTATAGCATATATTAAACTATAGATCATGTAGCATGCATCACACAACTGAATGAAAGAGAATGTCTCTTTATTGCAGCTCAGTAGTACATCGATATCTTACTTCACTGTCATATATTCTACGCAGTAAAGTGAAAATATATCATCTAATATATTAAAATATAAAGTTTAATTTATTGCAAAAAACAAGCCTACCTTGTAAAATAAGAATTAGGTAAGTAAAAAAAAATTAGTTAAAAAAACCACAAATGTCTAGATTCCCTCACCTCCAATTAATTAAGTCTTATGTCTTAATAATTGGAACAAATTATTCAACATATATAACGTCTTTTTTAAATCATAATAGTCCTAATTTTCTTTTTAAATTATAACCCATGCAAGTAAAAAGAAAAAATTAATAGATTTACATATACATAGATTTTAAATTACGAAAAAATCAATCAAGTGATAATTTCATGTAAATATAATATAAAAATCAAATATTTATCAAGTGATAATTTCAAATATTTATCAAATATTTATCAAGTGATAATTTCATGTAAATAAAATATAAAAATCAAATATTTATCCAAAGTATGTAATACGCGTTAATTTTATTTTTACATTGTTTATAAATATTCACACATATAGAAAATATATAAAATTATTTATATTCCAAGAATAAATATTTGTTTTTGCATGTAACGCATATAATTAACAGCAAAAATAGAGAAATATATCGACAACAGATAGAATAATGATTATAGAAACATATAAAATGTTATCCTCAGTGTTACTACGCAACGAGAATATTGTTGGAAGAAGGCTATTAATATAGCATACTACTTCAAAAATGGATGATGTCACCCAAAGTATAACAGGTAAATGTAATATTATAATTTTATATTACAATTTATATATACATATATATAAATTTATATTACAATTTATATATACATATATTGACAAGCGAACTTCAATACAAAGTATAAACCGCTATTGTGTGCCAGAAATTAACGTCCAAAGTTAGAGAAATAATATAATATATAATAATCTATAATAATATATATACTTAACAGACAATATTATTTTCACGGCTGATATACTAGCGCGTAAAGGCGATCAATCAACACTGTCTTCAAATAGACAAACGTATCCTACGGGTGCACGAACTAGAATGAGGCACGGAAAAAATGCGACACGGAGGCAGAGGCGATTACGCTTGCGCAAACTTAAATCAAGCATTTTCATATTACGAATACTTTTGTGCAAGAAATAAATATCCGTCAAATATTTCTTCACCATTAAATCGATAGTTAAATAATTACCTACCTATATTGCCGAGCAATGATACAAAATTACGAATATCCTCATTGTTTGCGATCTCATGATATTTTGTATTATGATATTATGCATTTATATTAAATATTTTAGTTATAATCTACGATAGAAGAAAAAATTATGAAATATTCAAGAGAGAACTTAGGAAACACGGCCAGTTAGTTAAAATATTTTTTCATTGTCAGTTATATCTCAATTTTCATCGAAAAATGACATGCTTTGTGAATCAGCACTTTAGACTCAATCGTATCCTTCTACTCGCAATTGGCTTATGGCCTTATCAGCGATCATTACTCATTCGATTTCAACAAATCTTGCTTTTTGGTATTTTGGCAAGTTTTATTGTATTTCAGGTATGTCAATATGTTCAATTGTTGTGTGACTAATAAAATGTTTAAATTTGATTATTTATCATGTATAGTATAAATATAATATGTTTAATTATTATCAAATCAAATTAAATACAATATCAATACAATACTACTCAAGAAAAAATAGATTTATACTTAAATTATGTAATTATATAAGATCATATATAAATATATAGTTATATAAAATTATCAGATCTTTTCACATCTAACTACATATATTTAAATCTGACCCTGTATATTTAAATCACATTATACCCATTTTTTCTAGGATATAAATGCTGCATTATAAACATTTAAAATAAAATAATTATAATCAATTGTCACGTTATCATGAATCGGAAAGCAATTGATTGTTTCAAATTAATAATTAAATAAAGAAATAATTATTAATCAAATACAACTTTTAATACAACTTTTTCAATTGATTTATTAATTTCAGCTAACAAAATTATCGACGTCCGAATATAAAACAGATCTTATTATCAAAATTCTTTCTACCGCATTATTTTTTGTGATGTTTATGATTGAATATAACTCATTTTGGATTAATTCTCAAACTGTAAGTCACGCTATAATCAAATATGTTGAAAACATAATTAAATTAATCTCTTTCTTATATAATTATTCTAAATTTAAAAAATATATAATATAAATAAAATACTATTAACTCAATAGATGAAAAATTTATTGGAGCAACTTCGAAATATTTGTAATGAATTCAAAGATGAGAATGAAATTATTATCATGAAAAAATATGGAAATATGGCACAACGTTATACAGCTATAATAATAGGTAAAAATGATTATTCAACACTCATCGCAAAAAACAAAAAATTAAACGATGACAAAAATCAAATGATTGAGAAAGAAATTTCACTATTTTGTGCGAATTTACTCATAAGTATGTATGCTAAAATTGATCAAAGTACAAAATACGGAATCAAATTTTTTTAAATTACATAATTTATTTCCTTTAAAATGAGATTTATTTAAATAATTATTTAAAATAGTATATATACTTAGACTTTTTTAGATAATATTTTAAATAATAGAACAATATAAAAAAGTACGATAAAATTTTTTGTGCAGTTTTCTGCAAAAATATTCAAATAAAAGTGGTCAAAGAACTGATGAATTGAAGAACTGATGAACATAAAATATATCATAGAATCATAATTATAAAAAAAATATTCAAAATGATATTTCGAATTGTTATAAATTAATAGCGAGTAAAACATTTTAAAGAGAACAATATATATACCTTTCTAAATATATTTAGTGATGTCAACGTGCGGTACATTTATTATCTTTATTATACCAATGTGGTCGCATATTCTCGATATTATTCTGCCCATGAATGAATCTCGATCACGTTTTACAATACATGTACTGACTGAGTATTTTGTCGATCAGGAAAAATATTTCTATTTAATTCTTTTGCACATGAATGCAGCTATTTGTATAGGAATGATAACAGTTGTAGGAACAGGAACAACGCTCTTAACAATTCTTGCACATATTTGCGGAATGTTTACAATCGTCAGGTAAAAAAAATTTGTAATGCTTTTTCAAAATGTAAAATCTTTTTTTTCCATTTTTTTTATCTATTAAAATAATAAAAGAGTAAAATCATACCTATAGAAAATAAACATTATTTACAGTTACCGTATTGAGCAAGCAATGACAATTAATAATTTACAAAATAAATCAAAGAATGAAAATGTTATTTGTAAAGGAATAATTTATGCTGTAGACATTCATTGCAAAGCTATAGAGTTGGTATATTTATCCGATAATATAATATTTGCAAAAGTATATGTAACAAAAAATATATTTATGCTATATGTCCTTGAAGGTTCTCCAGATATTTAACATCTAGCATTCAGGGATCATACTTTCTTTTAATTGGAATTGGTGTGCTGTCATTAAGTCTCAATCTTTTTGAAGTAAGTTTTTAAACATATTTATAACTTATGATGACATATATAATATTACAATTTAAACAATTCGTTAATATAAAAAAATAATAATAAAGCTAAGTAAAATATTTCAAAATTTAAATTCTAAATTGAGTTAATTCAAAAATCATAAATATGAAAGAGATGTAAGAAGAAAAATTATTAGTGTACAATTTATACATTTTGTCTCTAAATTTCTTGCAACATATAATTTGCATACAAAAACTGATTGATTTAAGAGCAAATTAATTTATACATAAAAAAATTGATCGCAAACATATTATTTTAGATGTATCAAATTCTATCAGGTGATGGAGATAAAGAAGCATTTTTCATACATTTTCTATTTATATTCATAATTCTTTTATACATGTTTGTAACTAGCTACGTCGGACAGGAAATTATAGATCACAATAATGACATTTATTATACCGCGTAAGAAACAATTTCATATAATAATAATATTTAAAATTACGCACTATCCTTTATAAAATAAAAATATAAATTCATAAAATTCAAAAGACATATATTTTGCGATTAGTAACATACCTTTCAAATTATCAATCCTCGTTGTCTAGTCACTTGTTCGTAGATATAATGTTTGTTGGTATGTAGCACCATTACATATACAGAAGCTGATATTATTTCTGTTACAAAGAGGCAGCAAAGTTGTCAATTTGAATGTGGGCGGACTGATCGCAGCATCTTTAAACTGCTTTGCTTCCGTAAAAATTATTTATAAAAATATGTAATAGTAACATAACTGTATAAACAAATTAAAAAAAAGATGTATTTCATTACAGTTAGCAAGTGCATCGGTATCTTATTTCACTTTCATATATTCCACTCATGAATAAATATTAAGAATTATACATTTAATAGTATATAATAGTAAAAAGTAAGTAAGTATGTATGTATCAAATATCAAATGTCAATTTTCTTCTTTTAATTATTAAAATTTTAAATTATATTATGTAATGTTAAGTTGAATGTACTAATCAAATAAATAAAATTATTAAAAACATATATACAATCACTTTTTCAATTTTTTTAAATTAAAATTATCTACATAAAATGAATAATGAGAAAAAGATTACTTGAAACCTATATGCATTTAAAATCAATTATATTAAAGAAATCATAGATAATTTTTCTATATAAATAACATATATGTTTTAATGCAGACATCGGAAATCTTTTAGATGTTCTATGTGTATGTTAGTATTAAGTAAAAATTTAAAACATTAAATATATTTTACCCATATTTTCATGACTAGATAAGTATATACAATGTATTTCAAACCGATTTTTTTTCTTCTCATAAGATTAAATCTTTAGTATTTAAAGTGTAATGAAATCTAATGAAATCTTTAGTATTTAAAGTGTAATGAACGTGGTGAACAAAGTGTATTTGTACATTCTATTTGATGAGAAGAAAGGAAAAATGGAAAGAAATTAAAGATTGAAAAGAATAGATCTAACATTTAAAACAACATCGAAATGCTGAATAAAAAATATTCATGCAATATTTTTGTATTTTTTATAAAGATGGGAACAGCTTTATTTGAATATGCATAGTAATTATAAAAAATTAAAAAGAAAAATAATTATAATACGCAGTACTATTGTTTCTTTCCAATTTTTCAGTTTAGCATTTTCTGCTCGATATTATTCTGCTTATGACTCCCAATCATGTCTAGCAAAAAAATTCGTTACTGAATATTTCGTGTTAATTAAAAAAATATTTTTTATAATATTTTGAATTCTGTATATATATATATGTCTAAAAATAAAAAGATATATAATAAAATCAAGAGAATTGCGAATCTAATAATAAATAAAAAAAATACATTTCAAATTAAATCTTATAAAAGTCATTATTATAAATTATATACATTTAATACAATGTATATATACAACTTATTTATACATGTACAGATATTTTTGTCTCCCATAAAATATTAATATAAGTCATTTTAACTTTGAGCTAATTTAATATTGTCTTATTAATATATTGTCTTATTTAATATTGTCTAATGGCTATTGGCTAATTTAATATTGTCTTATTAATATATTGTCTTATTAATATTATCTTTGGCGCGTTGTATATATAAGAGACAGATACAGTGAAATGTCGACAATTGATAATGTAGTGCGATTTCAGAAATATATAAATCCGCATAGTATAGCGAAAATATATTGTTAGAGGAAGGACGTCATTAATCACCATATAGCGTGTTATATTAAAAATACTACAGAGGACACAACAGGTAAGCGTAATGCGTATTTAACATGATAAAATGACAAACGTACTTTAATATCAAATATAAGTCGTTATTGTGTGGCAAAAATTAGCGTGAAATTACAAAAAATATATTGTAATATATAGTTTATACTTAACGAGCAGTATTTTTTCATGGCTGATATATTAGCGTGTAAAGTCGATCAATGAACACTGTCTTCAAAAAAGAACCGTATCCGACGAGTGCAGGAACTAGAATGAGGCACGCAAACATGCGATGCGGAGACAGAGACAACTGCGCTTGCGCAAACTTGAACCAACAATTCATATTTTGAATAACATTGAGAAATATCCGTCAAATATTTCTTCACCCAAATCGCCCAAATCGATAACTAAATAATTGCCTATCTATTATGGAGCAATGATATAAAATTGCGAGTATTCTATCGCAATTTTACGTATCGTATCTTACCGTTTACAATCTTACGTAATATTTTGTACTATATATTATCATGAGCTTATATTAAAATTTCGTTATAATCTATAACACAAGAGAAACAAATTATGAAATATTCAAGAAAAAACTTGAAAATACGGGAATAGTGGAAATCTTGCCAACTTTTCAGTCGTCTCTCGATTTTCATCGAAAAATGATATGCATCGTGAGCCAGCATTTTAGACTCAATCGTATTCTTCTACTCGCTATTGGTTTATGGCCTTATCAACAGTCATTACTCGTTCGGTTTCAGCAATTTTTGTTTCTTAGTATTTTGGGAAGTTTTATTGTATTTCAGGTATGCTAATATTTTCAGTTATGTATTATGTGTTTAATAGGTTGTTATATATTTAAATGTTGTTATAGGTTGTTATAAATTTAATTATTTATAATATACAATTAAATATTATAATGATAATACGTTTAATTATTAGCAACACGAAATGTTATATAAATGCTGTTATTTAATATGATCAGAATCATTTTGTTCTGTTATCATGAATCAACAAATAAACTGAATGCTGTCAATCAATAAAGAAATAATTGATTAATACCACTTTTAATCAATTTACTGATTGCAGTTGACAATATTTCTCACTTCAAATTGTACATTTGATTATGTTCTAAAAATTTTATCTACCTTATTAACCTTTACAATATTTATAATTAAATACAATTCATTTTGGATTAATTCTCAAACTGTAAGTTACTATAATTATATATGTCTATAGAATTGAATTAAATTAATTTCTTTTTTATATAATTTTTTCAAATTTTAAAACAAAATATTTGTAAATAAAGTATTATTAATACGATAGGTAAAAAATTTATTGGAGCAACTACAAAATATTTGTAATGAACTAAAAGATGAAAATGAAATTATTATTATGAGAAAATATGGAACCAATGCAAAATATTATACACTTAAAATGATAGGTAAAAAGACAATTAACATCGAAAAAAAATAAAATTAATGATGAATGAAAATCAAATGATTAAAAAAAGAAAAATAAGAGAAATTTCACTATTTTTGCGCGATTATATTCTTGTGTTATAATATATCAAAATATAAATAGTATAAAAGAAATAATATAATTTGTCTAGATCACATAATTTATGTCCTAATAAATGAAATTTTTTTAACTAATTATTATAAAAGTACAAATTTTCAAATTTTTAAATGATATTTCAAAGTGTGAAATAATTTAAAGTTTAATGAAATAGTAAAAATTTTACGCAATTTTCTATAAAAATATTCAAAAGTGTTTAAAACGAATCAATAAGTATAAAATATATCACAGAACTATAAATATGAAAAAATATTCAAGACAATATTTCGAATCAATTATAAATTACGAGCAGAAAATTAATAAAGCGATTTATTTATGTTTTTTATATATTTAGTGGTTTCAATGTGCAGTATATTTACTGTTTCTTTTATGTCAATGTGGTCGCATATTCTCGATATTGTTTTACCATTGAATGAATCTCGACATTCTAAGATACAGATACTGACTGAGTACTTTATCGATCAAGAAAAGTATTTCTATTTAACTTTCCTGCATATGAATGCAACTCTTTGTATAGGAGCAACAACAATTATAGGAACGGGAACAATGCTCATAGCGTACCTCAAACATGCTTGCGGAATATTTACAATCGCCAGGTAAAGAAAATAATTTATAATGTCCTTTCAAATGTTTTTCATGTAATTAAGATCTATTTTATTATTCTACGAATAAAAAATTCATACTTATGTCAGAGAAATTATATTTATAAAGGATAATTATTATTTATAGCTATCGTATCGAGCAAGCAATGACAACTAATAGTAATTTGAAAAATAAGAATGTAATTTATAGTAGAATAATTTGTGCAGTGGATGTTCATTGCAAAGCTATAGAGTTAGTATATCCAGTCTACCCGATAATACAATATTTTCAATAGTTTATATAACGATATTTTCTTATTCTTCAAGGTTTTCTAAATCTGTAATATCTACATTTGAGGGTTCATTTTTTATTTTAATTGGATTTGGTGTGATTTCCTTGAGTCTCAACCTTTTTGAAGTAAGTTTTTAAACATATCTTGTGATAATATATATTATACTACAAATTAATGAATAAAATAATAAAACTTTTAAACATATATTATTTACTTTTAAACATATGTAAAATATTTGACAATCTAAATTATAAATCGGTAATTTAAAATATGAAATTATATAAAAAAGAGGGAAATTAAAAAAACTTTCTCCATTAATGTACGTTTCATATTTTTTATCTGCAATTGTTTTGCAATCTAATTCTCATAGAAACTGATCAGATTTAATATATGAAAAACATTAATCATAATCATATTATTTTAGATGTATCAAGTTCTGTCACTTGGAAGTGGCAAAGAAGAATTTTTATGGCACTTTGTATTGATAATCGTAATTCTTTTATATATGTTCTTAGCTAATTACGCCGGACAAGAAATTATAGATCATAATAATCATATATATTATACCGCGTAAGACATAATTTTATATAATATTTACAATTTTTTGCAATCATCTCTCGTATAAAATAAAATATATGAATTTTGCAAAATTCAAAAAACCTATACATCTAAAGAACTGCTGATATACTACTTAAATTATCAATTTACGTTGGCTATAGCTATTTGTTCGTAGATATAACGTTCGCTGGTATGTAGCACCATTACACATACAGAAGCTGATATTATTTCTATTACAAAGAGGCAGCAAAGTTGTCAATTTGAATGTGGGCGGCCTGTTCATAGCATCTTTAAACTGCTTTGCTTCCGTAAAAATCATTTATAGAAATATATAATAATAGTATAACATAACTATAAGAAAATTAAAAAAAAGATGTATTTCATTACAGTTAGCAAGTGCATCGATATCTTATTTCACTTTTATATATTCCACGCAATAATAAATAAGAGATATATATTTAGTAGTATATAATAGTAAGAAATAGGTAAGTATGTATCAAATATCAAATACCAATGTTTTGCACTTTCAATGATAAAAATTAAATTATATTAAATAATGTTTAGTTATGTTAACTAATTAACTGAATGAAATTGTTGACAATATATATGCTTAATAT